AGGCAACAGGAAGTACACTCAGACACTGGGTGGTATCTGGAACATACGAAACCTCAAAGTCCACCCCCACAGTGACACACTTCCTCCAACAAGGCCATACTCATTTCAACGAAGCCACAGCTTCTAATGGTGCCACTGAAAGGTCCAGGCATTATGCTGGCCTGCCCTGTTACCTGGAAAGATGCACTCAGGCAACACTCTGGCCAGCCCAGAGTTCCATGAGAACCACGCAGGTGCAAAGGACCCCTTTAAAGGACTGACCCCTGACCCCTGCCTGCTTATGCTCTCTTACTCTTTTACTCTCTTACTCTCGTCTTGCTCTCCATCTCATCTCCTCTCTTACTCTCATCTCTCTCTCTCTCTCTCTCTCTCTCTCTCTCTCTCTCTCTCTCTCATCTTATCTCTCAGCTCTGCAAGGGTTGGTTACCTCTCACCCCCTTTCCCTCCCTGTCTACCAATAAACTCCGCGTGGGATCGTTGAGTCACAGTTTGTGTTTCGTTACTGGATAAACCTAAACATTTTAACAACATTGGTTCCCTGACCGGGAACCTAGACATTTTAACAACAGCCACTCCCTATAAGCTCGCCTTGGTCTTCTTGTAGGTGGAGTTTTTCTGTGTTTCAGCAGCCACTTCCCAAATAACCAACACAGAGACTTAATATTGCATATAAATGCTTGGCTGATAGCTCAGGCTTGTTACTAGGTAACTTTTTGCATTTAAATTAATCCATATTTCTTATCTATGCTTTGCCACGTGGGTTGGTACCTTTTTTTAGTACAACATGCCCATCTTGCTTCTCCCTGAGTCTCTCAGTGACTCCCCTGACTCAGCCCTTTCTCATCCCAGAATTCTTAGTTTGATCACCCCACCTATACTTCCTTCCTGGCTACCAGTCAATCAGCATTGTAGTAAACCAATTCGAATGACAAATCTTTACAGTGTATGAGAGGATTATCCCACAGTATCTGATCTTGTTTGAATTCACCGTTCTACCCCTTTTCTGATATGTTATCTGTGTTCTTTATAGTCTATCTCCCCCTCGGTGCCAGGGTTTCTCAACTATTTTGCTCAGCATCAGCACCCAAGGTCTTAGGACAGTATCTAGCATCTAACAAACAGGTGCTCAGCAAATATCTGTCAAGGGAGTGCATTTGTGAAGCCAGAATTCAAAAGCAAGCCTATCTGTCATTCAGTGCTCTAAAGTGTCATGCACCAAAACAACCAGAGGACTGAGGCAACAATTGTGTTAAATGTTTTTCTCACGTGTCATTGTCTTTACAGCACCCCACCTCCCCAAACTCCAAGCTATTCATGTAGTTCACAGTGCCTGCTGATTGGCTGATTGCTACTCTGTGTATGTGTGTGTGCGTGCGTGCGTGTGTGTGTGTGTGTGTGTGTGTGTGTGTGTGTGTGTGTACCCATGAACATGACTAGTAACAGCCTTCACCCCTCAGTAGCAGCCAGACAGTCACAGCCTCATCAGAGAGGAAATTCTTTCATTCCTAAGACTCCCCGCCGCCCCTTTAGGCAAAGAGACCTTTGACAGAGCTGGAAAACCCTTCCTTTATATACTCAGGGGCTTTGAACTTATGGTCAGCTAATGTATTTCCAAATAGATATATCTTATGAAAGGGGAACACTGCAACAGAAGAAAGCAGTTAACTGCCTGTGGAGCACCTAATCGACTGTCAAGCTGTTTGAAGCACCTTCCATATTGCTCTTTATCTAAGACTGGAATGCCTAGTCTCATTTTTGTCGTGAATGAATATGCAAAGGGAAGCATATCTCTATCTTGGTTAAAGCCACAGGGAAAACAGGGCTGGGTGCTTAAGAGTGTCTTGTCTCCTACAGCCAGAGCCAGGGCTCCATTTTGTGACCCCCCCCCAGATCCGTGGGGTACCTGCTGTGGTAAGGAGAGCAGTGGAGAGTAAGGGGTAAAACCCTGGTCAGGATAAGTAAGACAAGCCTCAAAATGCAGCTTGAGTCAGAGGAGGCACGAGCTGAAGTGGGCGTACCTTCACCTGGATGCTGACCCCACGCGGTACTGTGAGCCTGTGGCTGTGGGAGCCACATCTGGGTCAGCCTGGTGCTAAGATGGGAGTGGAAAATCATCTCACTTCCTCCGGCACCCTCATCCCTGAAGACTCTCCTGCTAGCTAATGCACTGGGGATCTGAACCAGCACTGAATCTGCTCTCTGTTTCCATGGCGACCACTTAAACTTCTCATCATCCTTTCTTCAGACCTTGGAGAAGAGCTATGCTCTCTGGTTTCCATGGCTACCACTTAAACGGATATCCTTGCTTGGCTCTATTGGAAGAGAGTCGCTAGAATCCATTCAAATGAGCTTGGATTACTCTCTTTTTACTTGGAAAATAAAATTAATTTCAAATAAAGTGACACACTTGCTCAGAAGTTTCGGAACTCTTCAAAACAAGGAGGGCGAGCAATGTGGTAAGTGGCTGTCTGAGGCAGGTGGACCACACCTCTTTGATACTCAAAGTGCTCACCCAGATCCTCTGGTTGGTTCTGCCATCTTATAAAGGTGGAGTGGAGGGGAGGGGGTAGCCAGCTTCTCTACCAAATGCAAGCTTTCACCATTGTGGAGAGACAATCAGGATTCCCATCTGTCATTATGTTTTCTGTCAATATATTCACCAAGGGTGGCCCCAGACTTGGATGACAGCCGTAAATAATATGGAGATGATATACCAGTTGCCCGGCACTACTCCAAGCTCTCTAGCAAGACTTGTGGATTGGACGGCTGGCATTCTCAACTTCAAGGCTTTGGGCTAGACAAAATGAAAGAGCTCCAGAGAAATGAGGATGCCTTCTCTATAGGCTTAGACACATCTCTAAACTCTACTGCAGAGATGTTTCCCCAAACTAGAGATGCCAAGAGACCAATTAGAGAATAGTGGCAACATTGAAAACTACCGGTTTCTGCCAAAGAGACTTCCCATTTCTCCTGACAAATCTGAAAGCCTGTGGCAGAGTCCTACTTGACATGGTCTGCTGAGAGGCGTGGCACACGCCCTTGAAGATGGAGCTTGCATTAGACTGCATGGAATGTTCCAGAATGGCACATTCTTCTTCCTGTTTCTTGGGAAAGTGTTGACCTTGTAACTTGTAGTAACAGATGCAATACTCAGACAACCCTAACCCATTTGAGTTGCAAGCAATGGGTGGGGAGTGGGGAGCTGAACATTATTCTTCAACCTTCTTTCTCCAAAGTTCTTCTAAGTCACTTGGAGCGCAGTGGAGGTGAGTGTCCAGGGAAATCTAGGTGGCATGGAGCCTGAAGGCCCTGATGAGTGTATTGAGCACCCTCTTTATTCATCCTCAGGTCAGACCCGGGTTGAAACCCACAGGAGAACATGGATGCCGCCATTTTGATCCTATTGTTGAAGAGTTTCATACATCAACCATTCAGCTGAACAAACCTGTCCAAATCAATGGAGGAAACAATTACCTGGTTACTTGATGGACCCGATGGGTCCTCCGTGTACTTCAGTATAGCTTCAGACAGCCCTGCGCTCAGTGCTTCCTTCTGCAATTTTCTTTGTAACTTTCAATTAGTTGTTACTTATACGGGTGTTTTGTCTACCTATTGTATGTGCACCATGTTCATGCCGTGTTTTGAGGAGGCCAGAGAGGGCATCAGATTGCTGGAACTGGAGTTACAGATGATTGTGAGCCACTGTCTCAGTTAGGGTTTCTGCTGCTGTGAAGAAACATCATGACCACAGCAACTCTTATAAAGGAAAACATTTATTTGAGGTGGCAGCTTACAGTTTCAGAGGTTTAATCCATTATCATCATGGTGGGAGCAGGCAGGCATGGTGCTGGAAAGATTTGCTACATGCGGATATGCAAGCAACAGAGAGAGGGCTGAGTGTCACAGTGAGGGAAACTTGAGCAAAAGATAGCTCAAAACCCATCCCCATAGTGACACGATGCCTCCATCAAAGCCACACTACTTTAACAAGGCCACACCTCCTAATAGTGCCACTCCTTTAGGGGGCCATTTTCTTTCAAACTGCATTCCATTCCCTGGCCCCCAAAGGTTTGTAGCCACATCATAATGCAAAAAATGCATTCAGTTCTACTTCAAAAGTTCCCATAATTTCTAACAGTCTAAACTTACTTAAAAGTCTAAAATTTGAAGTCTCTTCTGAGACTCATGCAATCTCTTAACTGCAATCCCTTGTAAAATTAAAATAAAAGGCAGATCACATACTTCTAGCATATAATGGCACAGGATATACATTACCATTTCAAAATGTAGGGAAGAGAGCAAGGAAATACTGGACCAAAGCAAAACCGAAAACCAGCTGAGCCAACTGCAAGCTCTGCATCTCCATGTCTGAGGTCAAAGTGCTCTTCAGATCTCCACTCCTTTCAGCTTTGTTGACTGCAACACACACTTTTCTTGGGCTGGTTACTCTCCATGTTAGCAGCTCTCCTTGGCAGGTGTCCCACGGCTCTGTCATCTCCAACAATGGATTTTCCAAGGCAATGTTGGTGCTGGGCATCATATCTGGTCCTCTGGGAGAGCAGCCAGTGCTGTTATGTGCTGAGCCATCGCTCCAGGACAGTTTGATGTCTTCTGGATGACAAGTGTCCTGTGCTTTCTAGAGAAGGTTTCTTACTAAAGATGGGGATGGATGTGCTTGCATCCACTGAGTTCCTGAAAGACTCACAGAAAGGCATTGCCAGCGAGGCTGGGCCACTGGGAAATGAAAGCCTAAAAAGCAAATGGCCTTCACGCTACCTCTGCCCTCCAAGGTGTTTCATGTCCCTTTTTAGAAAAGCGAGAAGTCTTTTCTTACTCACATCAGTTTTATTTTCAGGCTGTCTGTAATTTAACCCTAGGGAGGAGAGAAAATACTGACATCATTACGGAGAACAAGTCTGAGACCTTAATAAAAGCAGCAAGCTGTCAGAATTGAGTGATCGCATTCAGAGACTGTCTTGTTTTCCTGTGACTATTTTTAGGGTTCACTATGGGAGCAACAAATGTCAAGGAAAAGCTAAAAGAAATAAGGAATGCTGGGAAGACTGTCAAGATGGGGAAAAGCTCAGCATCACTTGCCCTGCCCCAAAGGCGAGCAGAATGTGGTCACACTGTGTTCTGCATCCATAAAGGAGTCAAGACATTCTCCTTTTGTAGAACAAAAAACCTGCTGGTGACAGGTGGGGTGGATCGAATCGTCAGGGTCTGGAATCCTTATCTCCCAGGGTAAGTTGTCTTTCTTCCACCTACCAAGAGCACTGTTGATGTAGTAAAGTGAATGAGAAAGTGACTAGGATTCCCTGTGGGAATCATTGAAAAGTCTATCCACAAGTAATCTCTCCCACCCAGAGCCTGGGATATTTCTGTTTCTAGCCTCTAAAAATTCATTATAGGGGCTACTGGAGAGATGGCTCAGTGGTTAAGAGCAAGAACCCAGGTTCTATTCCCAGCACCCACATAATTGCTCAAAATACATATATAACTCCAGTCCCGTAGATCATATTTCCTCTTCTGGCCTTCACATGCATGGTGCACAGATGCACATACAGGCAAAGCATCCATACGCAGAAAACATTTAAAGCCTTTTCATTGTAACTGATGTGGAATATAAATCCTAGCAGGACGTGGTAGGCATGCCTGTAATGCTAGCACTTAGGAAGGTGAAGCATGACCTCAAGGTAAAGGCCAGCCTGGGCTACATAGAGAGACCATGTCTCAAACAAAACAAAGCAAATGTAAATATAATGACACAGAGACTATGGGATGTCATTCACCCGGATCTCAGTGTGACTCCCTCTTGTCTGATGGCATTCTTGCCTTTCAGGGGACCATGACCCCTTAAAGTGGTCATGCAGAGTGACTGGAGTTTTTTTTACAGTGAGTGTTTCGTGTGGCCTCACAGCAGTGGCCCCAGTATCCCCCTGAGGATAATGGGGTCTAGCCCCATCAGAATTAATGACTCTACCATGCCAGCATTTTAACAGAATTAATGTAAGAGAACAGGTGTGATTGACATGAGAAAGTCATGACTGGTCTGTAAAGGCTGCAATTACAAGCAGGCTGCCACTCCCACCCAACATTTCTGTGGGTTCTGGAGATCTGAACTCGGTTCCTCGTGCCTGCTGCTTGTACGGCAAGCACTCTATCCACTGAGCCCTCCCCCTAGTTCTACCCTCTTTGTTACAGATTGAGACCTACTGTGTAGGGACGTCTGTAATGCATCTGTCATCCCTGGTCCTTGCATCAAGTCCACTGATCTATGAAGCCCCTGGAGCCCAGAGAAGCAATGGCAAAGTCAAAGCCCCATAGGCAGGCCTGTCATTTCCCAGAGAAGTGCTGAAGATGGGGGTGGGGGGAGCAGGGGACCCACTTCATCTTGCGGTTCCGATGAGCACGAGCCACATAAGCTATGACCAGGTTCCTGTCTGGGTCACTCTCTATGGCATCTGTTGGGGACCCACAAGGTGACTCTGTGTCCACCCATGGCACAGGTGATAGCCAGGACCGTGAGGCACAGTGGGTAAGCACTCTTAATCTGATTGTGCCTCCATGACTTCCCAGCCAGGAGGTTCTCCTGACCACCCGCAGCAGACCCAATTTTCCCGTGTATAATGGGGACAAGAGTCTCACCCTCTAGGATAATAACAAAGACAAAAAACAGTAAAAATACTCAGAACAATGCAAGAGACATAATAAAAACAAAAGGCGGTTTTCTGCCTGCTTCTGGTGTGGTTAAAAGTAGGCACATGCAAGCAGGCAGTGGTGGCACACGCCTTTAATCCCAGCACTCGAGAGGCAGAGGTAGGCAGATCTCTGTGAGTTCAAGGCCCGGCTGGACCGATAACCTCCAAAACAATACAGAGAAACCCTGTCTCATAAAACCAAAAAAAAAAAAAAAAAAAAGTAGGCCCACGCTTTCTCCCTTAGCCTCAGCCAGGCTTGTCTTCTCTCCATCTCCTGACCTTCCCAGAGTACCCAGCCACGATGTCCAGGAAGGGAGCTTGAAAATCGCTTTCTATTGCAAACCCCAGATTTAATCGCTGTTCGATCAGGCCTGTAGAAAGTGCCTGCGTGTCCCAGAATCCACGGCAGCAACACCTTTGACTCTTCCTCGCCAGTTCCTTTTATTCAGCTATTGTTAACAGCTGAAGAAGCAGAGCCCAGGCTTCCTCTCACCCTGAGTTCTGTTGCTAAAACTGCTTATTATTTTGCCTCAGTCCTTTTATTACACAAAATATATACTTGTGTAATATCAGAGGGAAGCCTAAGCCTCCTCCAGGCTGAATAGAACTGCCAGATCCTGGCCAAGCTGAGTTTTGCATTAAAAAAAAAGAAAAGAAAATAGAAACAGGAGATAGAATGGCTTTGTGTTCATTTGTTCTTTTCTTTCTAGAAAACCAACAGGTGTGCTGAGAGGCCACATGGCACCTGTGGTGTATGTACACATATCTTCTGAAGAAAACAAAGTGTTTTCCGTGTCTGCTGACAACACTGTCAAGGTCTGTCCCTTCCCTGTTTAGATGTGTGCATCCTTTAGGCAGGTTCTATTCATTAGTCTATTTGTTTCTTTCTTTCTTTCTTTATTTTTGCCATGCATTCTCCCACTATAGCCCAGAATAGCCTGGAGCTTCCCCACAAGCCTCCTGCCTTAGCCTCCCAAGCAATTTGCCCATCTCCATCTTTAGCAATGTGAGGGGCTCGGCCTTGATAAAGTCTCATGCACAGTTTAGATGGTTGCATTTGCTTTAGAAAGGGTGTGTGTGTGTGTGTGTGTGTGTGTGTGTGTGTGTGTGTGTGTGTATCTGTGTACATGTGCACAAGCAGTTCATTGCTAAGGCACTCTCCATGCTGGTGCTTGGGGTGGTATGTAGCTCAGCCCCTGCCTGCACACCATCCAGATAGTCCTTGTTTCAATCATTTCCCTTTGAGTCTGGAAGATAGAGAAGTGGAGCTGGGAATTCTGTCCCTTTCTATCAGTGCTGACTCTTATTTTGCAATATACCCTGGGCAATTGCCTTCCTGAAATGTTACCCGTGAGCCTCAGAATGTGACATTCCTGACCTAGATGGAGGCAGTGACATCATGGTTTGGCTTTGTTTGCCTTCATATACTGAACATACTGTCTAAGTATAACAGTTATCCCGTGACCTCTATAGGATGCTTGGATTTTTTGTTTGGTTTGGTTTTTTATTCAAAAATGGTCTAACTGGCTCCCCTCCTCCATCTTGCTTCTTCAGAGGATACGACCAGGCTTCAATCCATTTGCCTGCTTAACTGGGTTGTTGGTGGCCACAGGGTAGGAATTTGGACAAAATTAGTAGGAGGTGGGAGATCCTGTGTGTGTGTGTGTGTGTGTGTGTGAGAGAGAGAGAGAGAGAGAGAGAGAGAGAGAGAGAGAGAGAGAGCTTCATGACCTTGGACTAGGCATTAGTTTCTAAGAAATGACATCCAAAGTTCAAGAAACAAAAGAAAACAAATTAGACTTGGTCAAAATTAGAAACATCTGTGCTTTATAATACGAGGGCATCATTAATACAATAAATAGTTAACTTATGTAATGGAGGGGATATTGTAAACCATATGTCTGATAAGGAACTTGTATCAGGAATATAAAGAACTTTTAGTGCTTAGTAATAAAAGTACTGATAGCCAATTGAAACACGGGCCAAAGATTTGAGTAGACATTTCTTTAAAAGTGGCCAGTCATGGCATATGGTGCTCAACACCATAGTCATTGGGGGAATGAAAACCAAAGCCACAGTAAGATACCACTTCCCACTCCCAAGGACAGCTAAACTTTAAAAAACAGCAGAGCTGATATGATAAGCTGATAGAATGAGAACAATGAAAAGAAACTGAAACCTCTATATATTGGTATAAAAAATGCCATTTTTTAAAAAAGAAATCATTTTATCAATTCTCGAGTAGTAGTTAACATGTGACCCAGAGTTCCACCACCAGGTATAATCCCAAGAGAACTAAAAGCATGCATTCCTCAAAAATGTGCTATCGATACATATAACAGCATCCTGTATCATAGTTAAATGGCAGATGCAACTCAAATGTCCAGCAACTACTAAATGGTAAAATAAAATGAAAGCAGTGTGTGAGCAACAGAATGAACCCCCATCTACATTATGACACTGAGTGAACCTTAAAGCCATGGTGTTAGATTAAAGGCGCAAAAAGCCACATACTGTCTTGCTTCTTCCATTTGTATGAAACATCCAGAAGAAACCAGGCACTGAGGTGTGGACAGAATACGGAATGGCTGACGATGGGCATGGGGGTCCTAGAGGGCCTGACGGGATGCCCTTGTAGTGGTCATGGCTATGTAACTCTGTGGCCATGCTGAAGCCCCCATGATTGAGCATGTTAAAAATGTCAATTTTGTGATATGCGAGTTATATAAGGAAGTTTTTAAGGGTGTAAGGCCAGAGATGACTCAAGAGTGACACCAAGATTTGGAATCTAAGCCAAAATCTGAGACAGGGAATGTGGCCAATGAGTGGTATTAAGACTAGGAGCATGGCTTTGTGTGTGTCGGACAGGGTCAACCTGAGTTTAGAGGGTGTGGCCGGGGCTGATGGTACAAAATCAGGCATTATTAGCGTTTTCATAGAATCTTCAGCTCTGGGCTGGGTAAGGCGACAAAGAGAGCAAGAGTGAACAGAGGAGGGGAAAGTCCACCAAAGACTGTGCGCCGGGCCTGTGATGTGATGACAGCTCTCTGTGTGGGTCCAAGATGGCTGCCCCACAGACAGTGAGCACGGTCCATCCTGCAGTGAGGTTGAAAGTGGTTCTCCACAGCTAGGTGTGGAGAGTACAGCCAGTGATACAGCTGGGGCCCAAACGCAAGCCACTCAGTCCTCCAAGCAAACTTGATTGAAAGGATGAGATTTATGAACTCCACTGTTTGATTTATTTTGAAAATCAAATTCATCTAAAGGCTTCACCCAAAGTCACCGTGTGGAGGACTCCGAGTTTTTAATGAGTTTTTTTTCTCCCTTTGAATCCTGCGCCTCTTGGATAATCATAATTTTGTATGTGGGGACATGTCTTCCGTCCTATTTTCTTTCCCCATCGCCTCTCCATTTTCTTTCAATCTCAACTCGTGATTGCAAGATTAGCATCTCGCCCGTGATGAGTCAGGCACATTGAATAGCTTCCCAATGTGTGTTTAAAATATATTGAGATCCCATCTTGGAAATATGGTGTGTAAGTTGCTTCAGACTGCACTGTTCCTATCGAATAACAGCTAATCAACAAGAAGCCAAACAGCCCGATGACTAGCATGCCTGAGCAGACAGTCTTCATTCTTCGAATTATTTTTCAGCCCAAATATTTTACTCCTCCAAATCATGGGGACATACAAACATCTCAGGAGGCTGCTGGCTTCTGGCATCCCCTAACGGGGAATAAAGTGACAGATTCGGATTGCCTTTTTCACTTGGTAGTCGCTACAACTGCAGAGACAGGGCTGGCTTTTGTCGACCAGAATTAGAATTCAGGGAAAGTCTTTTTTTTCCTAAGGAAGGCATCGTGGAGTGCCAGCTAGCATAACATGTGAACCTCTCTTAAGCACATCCCAGGTTTTCTCCAGGTTAAGACAACGGGTTTGTTTCTGTCCGTTTTAACCCAGCACCAGTGACTGATTCTGTGAGTGAGTGCTCATTCCCACTCAAGGGCTGGCATCTCTCCAGTCAGGGCCCCCACCCTCTTCATCCAATGCCAAGATGCAGGTAAAGAAGATACTGCTGCCGCCTATGACTCCAGCCACCTCTTCTCACAGTCCGTGCCAAGTTCACAGCCATCGTGGGTGAATGGGAAGTGGAGCATGCCTTAGATGGTCACCCTCTGCAAATGGATGAGGATGTGTGGATTTGGGAGAGGGTGGCAGAAAGCTTCGGAGATATACGACAAGCCAGGTGACCTGGGTGAATCATTCAATCTGCCTAGGTGGACTTCGCTCTTTAGTGGTTTACCCCTTTCCAAGGTGGGAGAAGGACCTTGTAGAGGAATTGTCTTTGTTGAAGGCAGCAGTAGATGGACTGGGCTTACTAAGTGAGACTGACTTCAGCCCAGGAGACATAGGTGAAATTCAACAGTGTAAGTGCCAGGGAGGGCTTGGTGACCACAGAAATAAAGTCAGTAGATGCTGGCCTCCTCCTGAGCCCCCGCTGCAGAAAGTTGTTCTCCCTCACGTCACCTGTGTTTGTAACAGGGAACCTGATGATTTGATGATTCAGTCTAAGCTTCTATGTAACAAGTGTCTCCCCTGCTTTCCTTCATGGGGTTTTAGGCATCAACTCATCCTACCTGAAATGGCTTTTCCCAGATTCCAGAATTTCCCGTGTTCGTCTCGGGAACCATATGTATTAGTTCCTTTCCTGGTGCTATAACAAAATACTTGAGACAAACCAATGTACAAAGAAGACCAGGTTTGTTTAGTTCACAGTTCTAAGACTAGGAAATACAAGAGCTTGATGCTGGCATCTACCTTGGGTCTTCTTGCTGTGTCAGTATAGTGAGAAACATCACATGGTCAGGCAGGAGAAATGCTCTAGCTTAGGTCTCTCTTCCTCTTTGCTTTTTAATACATTTTAGGTGCCCAACAGGGGGCACATGGTCTTGCACATGCTAGACAAGCACCACCAAGCCATACCCTTGCTCTGTCTTGCTCTTCTTAGAGAGCCACTAACTCCATCATGGGAGCCCTATTCTCATGGACTCACCCTTAGATACCACTAACATACAAACTTAGGGATTGAGCTTGCAGCATAGACTTTCAGAAGCATTTTTATATCATGGCACCTCAGGTCAGGAAGTGGGAAGAAATCATCAAGTAAAGTCTCCCCGCAGCAGGGGAACTGATAATGACTGCGCAGATAAATTTTCTTCCAGCAAAACCAGTGTGCTCCCCCAGACTGCTAGCAGAGAGGGGGGGGGCATGTCCCCTAGGCAAGCCACTCTTGGGACTGCCCTTCCCACGGGGAGTCAATATTGGGGCCCCATGCTGACTTCACTGGAGGCACAGGCCCACAGAGATCCAGGGATGGCCCGTTTGCTGAGAGCTCAGAGAACAAATGGAAAATAAGCAGAGTGTAAATTCGAAGGATTAGAGCGCAGCTCAAGAGACAAAGGCCTCAAACGGCTGGCATTTGGCAACCGAGCCAAGGAGAAGACAAAGCTTTGCCCAGGCTCATGAGCTCACTCGTGTTAGATTTCCCTGGCATGGCTACGTCTTAGCCTGTAAATTCAGAACGTCACTTGGAGTCAATGATAGCATCTGCCCCCCAAAGCTGGCTTAAGAGAGCACTAGTTGGGGCTGGAGATATGTTTCATCTTCCAGTTGTATCCCCCTAACTCTCCTCTTCCTGCAAAGTCCCCATTGCATTGGAGCCTAGCCTGCTCCAGGATGACCTCATCTTCGTTCACTACTTGCATCTCAACAACCCCATTTCCAAATTGAGCCCCATCCTGAGGGACTGGGGTTATTTGCCATTTTAAGGGAGAGTAGTGAAGGCAACCAGGACTCAAGGCAGTTGACACACAGTGGGTGCACGTCGCCCCTGCCTCTCGGATGGTCATGCTCTCCCCAGTTTTGTGCTTGGCTGGCCCAGCTGCTCTTCTAACCTACTGCAGCCCCCACCGGCTCAGTCTGCTAATAGAAGGCCAGAGCTGCAGCATGATTTACAGGCATAGCGATGATTGACAGCAATATTATTCAAATCACGTTACGTCATTATTATATTTTATCCACTTTCTCTAATCAGTTTTCTAACTTCTCTAAGGAACACTATACAATAGGCAACATTGTCTCTCTATTTTACAGACAACACTGAGGGAAAGAGTTCTTGGGAAACTGGGTGAGGCTACCCAAGCGTTAGGTGGGCCCACTTGGGTTCCAGCACAGGTAGATGGACACTGGGCTGTCATGTCCTCAAACAGCAGCCACACAGGTGTCTGTTCTGTGTGTCCTCCAAATACTCGACTGGTGATGGGGTTGGTGGTGTATTCTTATATTAAGAACTGGGAACAGGGAGCTGGAAAGATGGCTCAGTGGTTAAGAGCACTGGCTATTCTTTCAGAGGACCCGGATTCGATTCCAAGCACACACATGGCAGCTCACAGCCATCTGTGACTCCAGTTCCAAGGTACCCAACATCCTCTTGCAGGCAAAACACCAATGCACATAAATTTAAAAAAAAGACCTGGGAACAGGTTTGATTATCAAGGTACCACAAATCAGATCCATGTCATCAGCTCTCCGTGAATGTTGGGTATATAGAGAAGGAGGTGACCGGTCATTTCCTTGTGGGAAGAATAGAGCCTAGAGTCTCATGGCCACAATTGTCCTTTCTCTCTGATCACCATTCACACTCCCATGATTGAGGGGACCAGAGGTGTAGGCCTTGCTGTCTTTTTCACAACAACGATGGAGAAGAACTCCCTCTAGCATTTGGGCTTTTGGCAGGGGTGGACAAGAGGTAGAATTTAAACTTGATCAAGTCAAGCCAGACCCCACACCAGGCAACAGCTGTGGAAGCACCACAAATGTGAGAAATGCATTAGTAGCTGAGTGTGTGGCACACAGAGGATTTAGAGTCCAACGCCAGCTTGGGCTGTGTGGGGAGATCCTCTCTAAACAAAGAACAAAACCTGTTACTTTCCCCCATTTCCTCCACAGATCTGGGATCTGGAGACGCACGGCTGTTGCTTTACAGCTTCTTCCAAAGCCAGTGGTATCAAGGGAGAACTTGCCGCCTGCCTCTACCTCTCTGGACCAAGAGCTCTGTGTGTGGCCACAGATGCCCTGGCTTTTCTTCACCTGAAAGCAGGGTACAGGCTGTCTGTCCTCTGAGTTTTGTGTGTGGAATGTTCTAGAGGGTGCTAGGAGATTTCAATGCTCTACCATTCAGGTCACAGGCTCTGAAACTGCAGCCCTGAGTGGGCCTCTAGCCTTCAGCTTATATTTGACAGGGCCTTTTAGCATCCCCCCCCCAGCAACACTGGAGTAATCTGCACTATCCAGGGGTAACTTCCCCTTGGGCCTATCCCACCAACAGCCTTAAGCCTATAGTACATAAAGATTCATTGTGTGGGAGCAGAAGCCAGGTACAAAGGCAGAAGATGAACAGAGAGGGGTCTGTTCGCATAGTGCTGTTGCTTCTGCCATGCCCCATGTCCTAGAATTCCCCCATCCATAAAACAAGTTAGCCATTTAGGGGACACATACCCAAGTGACGAGACAAGACTGGAATGGGGACCTCTGAGTAGATTCCGTTCCCCAGCGATGGGCCTATAATGCCTTGAGAGTGGACTCTCCTCAATTTCACATGTATTCTAGTTCCCGTGACATCCCCACACTCTACCCCAAACCCCAGTTACAACACCATTGCCTCCTTGACAAGGAATGTAGTGGCCACTTGCCTTTTCTCCCACCTCTGCCTGCCTGGGCTGAACCTGTCTGGTCTTAGACACTCAGAGAAGATACTATACACTGATATCAGTTTGTCCCAGGTCATTGCTGTCTCTGCCATACCCAAACAAAGGCTTTCTGTGCCTACAGTAGCATCAGGTGTACAGGTTGTCTAGTTCAAGCCTTTGTAGATGAATAATTAGGGATCCAGGAGCTGGGGGTGGATTGCCATGGTGTACGGGAACCAGGAGCAAACAACAAGACATCCTGCCTCTGGGGGAGGGCAGCCTTCTGGTTTCTCTCTGCACCCACCCCCTGCAGCAATAAATCAAAGCAGAGAGGGAACCGTACATTAAAAAACAAAACAGGGAAAAAAGCGTAAGAAACACATATAGACATAGAGACACACAAACTGACTCACACAGAAACCCCCTAGAATCAAAAACGGGGAAACTATAAAATACAGCAAAAGACCCGTAGGGTAAGAAAGAGAGAGAAGGTCCAGACAAAGCACTATGAGGCAAAGAACCTCCAGAGACACCCCTGAGTTTGCTTTGTGTTCTTCTGCTGTACGTGGGGCCTGGCCTTAAGAGTGGTTCACACACCGAGTGAGACTCCATTAGAAAAGACGGATTTTTCATTTGGTTATCACCCGGAGATAGCTTCTGGGTTGGGGATGTGGGCTTGTGTCCACCTCCACTCTCAGCGCTGGCGGATCAGGGCCAGACCTGTGCAGGTCCTGTGCATGCTGCCAAAGCCTCTGGGAGTTCACGTGTGCGTTGGTCCTGCTGTGTATAGATGGCCCTGTTTCCTGGGTGTCCTCCATCCTCTCTGGCTCTTACACTCTTTCTGCTCCTTTTCCAGGGATTCCTTGAGCTGTGAGGGGAGGATTTGATGGAGGCGTCCTATTTAGGAGTGTTCTCACTCTCAGTACACTGTCCAGCTGTGGTCCTGCATTTATTCCCAGCTACTGCAGGAGGATTCTTCTGATCTATGAGCGTTGCAGAGTGTCACTAGGAGTCATTTTGTGGCTATGTTCCTTTAGCAGAACAGTGGTATCTGTTTTCCCCTAGGTCCCTAGTCTCAATTTCTGGGCCACAGAGCAGTGTCAGAGATGGGTTCCATCTCATGGAGTGTTTGAGTCTTTAGGGAACTTCTACGTGTGCCAATTTGTATGTCTCTGCATCTATGTCTGTTTCTTGTGCTTTTTCTTTGGCTCTTTGTTTTTCCGTTTTGTTTGTCTGTTTACTTTGTCCTATTTAAGTTCATTTTTAGTTTTGTACCATTCAAACTTGCTTATTTTTTTTTTTTAGCTGCCAGTTTGTTTTCTAATGAGAGAACAGGAAGGGATGTGGATTTGGGCATGTGGGGAGGTGGGAGGAAGCAGAGAGGAGGTAGGAGGAGCTGGGAGGAGGTGGGGAAGCTGGAAGGAGGTGGGGGAGCTGGGAGGAGGTGGGGGGGAGATAGGGAGGAGCTGGGGCAGGGGGAGCCATAATCAGAATATTTTGTATGGAAAAGAAATCAAACTAACACCAAAAAACCACAAAGGGCTGGAGAGATGGTTCAGCAGTTAAGAGAAGTGGCTGCTCTTGCGAAGGACTCAGGTTAAAGTTCCAGTGCCCACACAATACCTCGGTGGCTCACAACTATCCTTAACTCCAGCTCCAGGGAATCCTCTTGTGACTTCTGCAAAAATGAGGCACTAGTGTGGTACACATGCATACATGCAGCCAAAACACTCATGCACATTTAATTAATGAATTAACCTAAAACAAAGCCTGAGACCAAAGGAAATGTACTTCCTAATACCTGTTCCCACAGCCTGCAAGGAAGCATCCTCCATGCCCTAAGAGACCCAAAAGCCATCAGTCTGGGATTCAAGAGCTGCTGGGAATCCAGCATGGGACTGATCAAGACCCATTGAATGTGGTGTCAGTGAGGAGGCCTAGGCAATCTATGGATCCCTGGGTAGTAGATCAGTATTTATCCCCAGCATACAAATGGACTTTGGGTGCCCATCCCACAATGAGAGATGCACTCTTAGCCTGGACTCTTGGGGAAGGTTCAAGGCCCTGCCCTGGATGAAATGACAGACTATAGACAACCCCATGAAGGGCCTCACCCTCCCTGGGGAAAGGAGGGGATATTGGGTGGGGAGGGCATGGGAGGAGGGGAGGGAAAGGGAGAGGGCCCTGGGATTGACATGTGAAGCAACCTTGTTTCTAATTTAAATGTAAAAAAAATTTTTAAAAAGAGGCCCAGAGGCAACGGAATAAGCCACACCCTCCTGTGGAAAGGAGCCCCCCCCTGCCCCACCAGCATGAATGATGGGTGCTTGGCGTATGCTTTGAGAACTGCAGAGCTCTCTGTAATCCAAAAGCATGGACCTCGTCACAGCCAGCCCAGAGCAAGTGTGGCCCATTCTCCTTTTATTTGTTATTTTTGTGTGGGTGCTGGGAACCAAACCCAGCTCCTCCAGAAGAACAGCCAGTGCTTTTAACCTCTGAGCCATCTCTCCAGCCCTGTGTGGCCCACACTTAATCCCCTGTTACTCCTCCTGGCTATACAAAGCACATTCTTCCTCTCTGTCACAGTTTTGTTTTGTTTTACCATCGTTCAGCATTTCTGAGACTCCAAAGCCAGAATACACGGGTCCAGATTAGGATGCAGAACAGTCTTACAGTGATACAGTATCATAGCCTATGTGTTTCAGATACTATGCCACGATGGTGACAGGCTTCCTGTGCCCCAAATCAAGACTCTTGCCCTCCCCATGTTTTCTCTTGATTTGTGAACATGGACGTGGGAGACAGGGTCAAAGGTCGAGCTGCATGTTAAGAGTTCATTTCAAGGGAGCTGGAGATGGCTCAGTGGTCAAGAAGACACACTGAGGGCTGGAGAGATGGCTAGGAGGTTAAGAGCACTGGTTGCTCTGCCAGAGGTCCTGAGTTCAATTCCCAGCAACCACATGATTGCTCACAACCATCTATAATGAGATCTGGTGCCCTCTTCTGGTGTGCAGGTACACATGCAGGCAGAATACATGATAGATAGATAGATAGATAGATAGATAGATAGATAGATAGATAGATAGATAAGATAGATCAATAGATATCGATAGATAGATAACACATTGCTCTTGCATTGGTTTACAACTGCCTCTAACTCTAGTTCTAGAGGACCTGACACCTCTGGCCCATATAGGCACCTGCACTCCCGCACTTAAGCCCACACATGGATACACTCATAACCACAATTGAAAAAGAATTTAAATTAACTTCATGAAAAAGCAAGCACATTTCAGGGCATTGCACGTGGCCCTGGTATTGGCCATCCACCCCCTTCCTAACCTCAGTAAAGCCATGTGGCTGGATAGAACGGCTTAGAAAACTCAAATAGAGACATAGCTAAATGATTGGTGCAGCCAGGCTCCTGAGCGATCTGGAATGTTTCGCTCAGGATGCCAACGCAGCCTGCTTACAGGGGAAACTTCTGCCAATCAAATTGCTGTGTGTTCTGTATGATAGAATTGTGTAGAACAAACAACCTGCTTAATTAATTTCTGTTGGAACGCAATGCAATGATAGGAGTTCTGCTTCTTGGGCAACACAATCTCAATCTCTAGTGCTAACACTTAGCTGCCAGATCATGTCCTTGCCCTCGTCCACCCCATCCCTGCTGTCACTCAGGAGCTGGGCAACCCAGAGTTACCTAACCCTCATTTGCTGAAGCTCCTCCCCCAGCACCTAGGAAAGCGGTCAGACCAACAGCTAGACCCAGATTTTTCCCTCCTTTCCCTTTGTTCCTCCCTTCTGTGAACTTCCTGCCTCATCCTGCCTGGACCAGATCCCCGACCCACACACTCATCTCCTAAAGCCCCGGGACAGGCTGTTCTTCCTTGGAGAGTAGTTTGAGCATTATGCCTGAGGCTTCAGATCCATGGGAGGCTGTGCTGTTCTCTAGCAAGCAAGCTTGAGGATTCGCTGCAGATCAATGAAGAGGCAGGGAGGCAGGGAGACCACACATGGAATTTATGTTCGGTATTACGTCCACTGCATGCCAACATTTATATCCGTTTCCTTGTAATTTTTCCTCATGTTCCCATAAGAGATTGTATTTTGCAGATGAGGAAATCGGGCCATAGGGTTTGAGTTGCTGTCGAGTGCTGGCCTCTGAGAGGCAGTATATGGAACTAGGCTCTGGTTGCACTGCTCTGCCCTTCGCATCTGGGTACACATGGAGTCACAGGGCCTGCTGCTACCTGCTTGGCCTCAGCCCTGCAGTTACTGAGAAACGGAGTATTCTGGCACGAGGATTCATAGTGTGCTAATTTGTTTGTGTTTGTTTGGGAGAAAATCTAAATGCTCAGCACCCTAGATCGTTCTGCAAGTCATCAAATCACACTCCTCCTGCCCTTAAAAAGAGATATGTGGCCCCTTGTGGTGGCACACACCTATGATCCTATTATTGCTCAGGAGACAGAATCAGAATGACCTTGAGTTTGAGGACAGCCTGAGCTACGGGAGAACCAGTTCCAAGCAATCAGTCAGTCAGTCAGTCAGTCAGTCAGTCAGTCAGTCAGTCAGTCGGAAGTGCACGCTTTCTGTTTTCTTCTTTAGTGGTCATTGTAAGGCATCATGAGTCGATCACATGTGTTCTGAGTGTGCCTTATCATATGTGGTGTTCTAAGAATGTGCACATATCTCTTCCTACTTAGTTCCTGGTTCCTAGTTAGAGTTGCTATTGCTGTGATGAAACTCCATGACCAAAGCAGCTAGGGGAGGAGAGGGTTTATTTGCCTTACACTTCCATATCACATTCATCATCAAAGGAAGTCGGGACAGGAACTCAAGCAGGGCAGGAGGCAGGAGCTGATGCAGAGGCCATGGAAGGGTGCTGTTTACTGGCTTGCTCCCCACAGCTTGCTCAACCTGTTTTGTTTTGTTTTTTTATAGAACCCAGGACCACCTGTCCAGAGATGGCACCACCCACAATGGGCTGGGCCCTCCCACATCAACCACTAATTAAGAAAATGCCCAGCAGCCTTGCCTGCAGCTGGATCTTATGGAGGCAATTTCTCAATAGAGGCTCCCTCCTCTTTGATGACTTGATGACTCTAACCTGTGTGTAGTTGACATAAAACCAGCCAGCACACCTTTACAACACTTAAAGCAGATGTTACTGCCCTTAGATTGCAGGTTAGAGAGTGGAATTTTGAGCAGTTAGGCAATTTCCCTAGATGCATCGTTTGAGCCCCAAGCTTCTCCTGCTAGCCACTGTATAATGGAGAATCAGACCAGTCCCCTCAGTATCCCTGGCGTACGCCACCACAACTGTCCATTGTTTCTCTTTTTCATGAGCCAGATCCGCCCCAGAGCCCCACCTGGCACGTTCCCACCAAGAGCCTGTGGTATGCTGCAGATACAACCCAACCTTCAGGCATGTGGTCAGCTGCTGTGAAGCATCTGTAAGTACCATCCACTCCTGATGTCTAGGCAACGACATGTTTGTGAGGTAGCCTGGTCCCTCCATCTTCCTATTACAGCTGAGCAGTGTGTTCTGAGTGGGATGGACATTCAGTTCTGCTCTGTTAATGATCCCGTATTGTTCGGACAGTCTGCTCAGAGTCAAGTGGAAGAGCCTGTTGGCTGCCGAGTGGCTCCCAGGATGCGTTATTAGGAAGGAACATCCAACCCGAGAGTATTACATTTTTGTGATATCTTGTATGCTGTTCTCATGAACTGGTGGAAACTCCAATCCACTGTCTGCTCCGAGGACTTTGAGAGCAGGCTCTATGCCTACCTCAAAGGAAGCCTCCTTGGGGTGGGGACTGACTTCAGCCATCAAGACTGAGGATATTGGACTCCCTGAAGGAGAACTCTCACTCAAAGCTTGCTCCAGGGAAGACCCAAAAAAGACTAATGGTGAGAACAATTGTGCTGAGGGAGATCTGAGGGCTGGAAGTTTAGAAGGTACAGGAAATGAACCCTACTGTCACAGTTTCTTTTTCAGTGGCCTCAATAAAATATCCTAACAAATACAACTTCATGGACAGGAGGGTTATTTTAGTTAACATTCCAAGGTACAGTCCTTTGTTGTCTGGAAGTCATGGCAGCAGAAGCTGCAGACAGCTGGTCCAGCATTCACAGTCCAGAAGTGTGAGCCTAGGTCACATCCATAGTCCAGAAGTGTGAGCTTTGAGATGGCCTGTTTCTGGCTCCTGATGCTTTAGCAACTGACCCTGATTTATCAAATTCTATTTCCCGTTGTTCTCATCACATCACATCCAGAGTTCAGAAATGTGAGCTCAGGTCACACTGCCTCCACAGTGAGCCTAGGTCACACTGGATCCATAGTCCAGAAGTGTGAGCCTAGGTCACAGCACATCCATAGTCTAGAAGTGTGAGCCTAGGTCACACTGTATCCACAGTCTAGAAGTGTGAACTTAGGTCACACTGTATCCACAGTCCAGAAGTGTGAACTTAGGTCACACTGTATTCACAGTCCAGAAGTGTGAGCCTAGGTCACACTGTATCCACAGTCCAGAAATGTGAGCCTAGGTCACACTGTATCCACAGTCCAGAGGTGTGAACTTAGGTCACACTGTATTCACAGTCCAGAAATGTGAGCCTAGGTCACACTGTATCCACAGTCCAGAAGTGTGAACTTAGGTCACACTGTATCCACAGTCCAGAAATGTGAACTTAGGTCACACTGTATCCACAGTCCAGAAGTGTGAACCTAGGTCACACTGTATTCACAGTCCAGAAATGTGAGCCTAGGTCACACTGTATTCACAGTCTAGAAGTGTGAACTTAGGTCACACTGTATCCACAGTCCAGAGGTGTGAACTTAGGTCACACTGTATCCACAGTCCAGAAATGTGAACTTAGGTCACACTGTATCCACAGTCCAGAAATGTGAGCCTAGGTCACACTGTATCCACAGTCTAGAAGTGTGAACTTAGGTCACACTGTATTCACAGTCCAGAGGTGTGAACTTAGGTCACACTGTATCCACAGTCCAGAAATGTGAGCCTAGGTCACACTGTATCCACAGTCTAGAAGTGTGAGCCTAGGTCACACTGTATCCACAGTCTAGAAGTGTGAACTTAGGTCACACTGTATTCACAGTCCAGAAGTGTGAACTTAGGTCACACTGTATTCACAGTCCAGAAGTGTGAACTTAGGTCACACTGTATCCACAGTCTAGAAGTGTGAACTTAGGTCACACCATATCCAAATCCAGAAGCATGAGTCTAGCTCTTCATTCAGTTCAGGACCAATGCACAAAACTGTGCCTCTCACATTCAGGATGGGCTTTCCTACCTCTATTAATCCAAGCTTAAGAAAATCCCCACCATGCATGCCCACAGGCCAGCCTAAATCTAGACAGTTCTTCACCAAGATTTCCTTCCCCTGTGAGTCTATATTGTGTCAAGGTGACAGTTAACACCATAACACCCACCAGCCCCTTGACTCTGGACATTGAAACTGCAGACTGTGAAACCAAACATTTCTGTTGTTTAAATGATCTAATCATGGCAATTTGCTATGGCTGTGATAGCAGTTTAATACATTCAAATAAGCTCTGTGGGAGTCCAGACACTTTCTAGGCAAACATTTATTTTTAAGATTTATTTTTTAATATGTGTAGGTATTTTGCCTGCATGTGTGTCTGTGCACCATGTATGTACTGTCTGCAGAGGCCAGAAGAGGGCACTGGATGCCCTGGACCTGAAGTTATAGATAGTTATGAACTACCATGTGGGGGCTAGGAACTGAATCCCTCATCCTCTAAGCCATCTCTCCAGCTCCTATAAACTGTCCTCTTTAATATTTATGTCGCCATATTTAATATTTATATCATCCGGCCTCTAAATGCAAATTTCCTTTGATTTGATAGCCATTATTGTTAAGCCATCTTTCTTTCAACCTTTCATACAGGTAGTGAAAGTGTGGGACTTTGAAACAGGAAGACAGGTGTCTGAATTTATTGGGACTCATGGCAATGCTGGTATCACCTGTCTGACTTTTGACTCCAGTGGAAGAAGGTACACCATTTCTCTAGGGTCAAGAACCTTTCGGTAGGCTAATCTGGGTCATGTCATCCTAGTGTGACAATCTGTTTCCTAGGCTCATCACTGGGGGCAGAGACGGCTGTCTGAAAATATGGAGCTACAACAATGGACACTGTCTCCACACCCTTCAGCACGGCAAGTGAGGCTGGGCTACTCCAGCAATGCTCCCTCCATACGGTATTAGTGCACATCTGGGCATTTACCATAAATGGAAAAGGAACCAAGTGGGAGAGAGCCTACAGTGTGGGTGACATCTCCACCTCCCCTTCCTCTATATTTCTCATTATTCAATGTTTCTGAGCTTGAGTTTCACGGGGATACAATCACAGAAATTAAATGCAGGTCTCTTATAAATCTCCTCCCATGCCCCAAGGCAGGTCATTCATTCATTTGCTGTGTCTATTTTTGGTTTAAAAAAAAGTTCCCTGATTCTGGCCTGTAAAATGCTAACAGAGCAGAGAAGATGCACATTCTTCAACTACTAGAGGGAAATAAATAAAGTCAAGGTGAAAGAGACGTAAAACTAAAATTACAAGCCTCATTCCCGAATCTGCTTTGACCTCTATGTGACCAGTTGCCCATTCACTCACTTAGTGAATCACTCACTATGGGGTCCTCTCAGGGGAAGCCAAGTCTCTTCCTGTAGCCAATCAAAGGCAGACTCAGGGAAGGCAGATTAATGAATGATGCTTTACTGATGTGGGTGACATTTGACCCTTTGCTGAACACTAGATAATAATGATGAAGTCTGTTCTGATCATCAGACATAGGACAACATATGAAAGCTGAATTAAGCAAGAGCTAATAGAGAAAAATGTTTGATGTAAAATGATAATGTATTTCTAGATGAAAATCGAAGTGAAGTCTGCGATTGTACCTACATGGAGGTGAACCAAAATAGGTGAGTTTCATTCGGCTGGAACTATATTTAAATAGGACCTCCCCCCCCCCTAGTTGGGAAAAAATTAGTTGTATTAGTTAGCTTTTTTCATTACTGTGAAAACATCCCTGAGATCAAGCGGGGGTTGGCATTTTGGCTCATAGATTCTTGGTCTCAGTCCATCCGCTGAGGTCTGATGGTGGAAACGTCGTGGTAGAAGGACAATGGAACAGAAAAGATACTCACATCATGGAAAACCAGAAGAAAAGTGAGGCAAACACAAGATACAGCCTTCAAAGTCACACCTCAGTGGCCCACATCCTCCAACTAAAATCCATGTCTTTTTTTTCTTCTTTAAAAGATTTACTTACTTTGCATATATGTGAGCCTGCATGAGTTTATATGTACCTCATATGTGCAGATGTCCATGGAAGTCAGAGGGCATAAGACAGGTGCCCTGGATCTGGAGTAATAGACAGTTGGGACCCACCTGACATGGGTGCTGGGAACCAAAATGGGGTCCTCTGCAAAAACAGTTGGTGTTCTTGGTCAGTGTATGAAGGCCACTGTGTGATGGTCACTGTGTGATGGTCACTTTGTGAGCCCAGAGGCTCAGCAGTTAACAGCACTGACTGTTCTGGCATAGGACCCAGTTCTGGGCTCCATAGTCACCAGAGATACACGTGATGGACAACATAGATGTAAATGTAACGCCCCATATTCATTAAGATAAAATAATAATAATTTTTTAAATTCAAAGTAACAAATCAGAGTGGAGCAAGTAACTTCAGCTACCATAAATCAAAAAAGAAAAACACAGTAATTCCTTCCTGGGCACTAAGAGAGTGAAGCAATCCTTGGGCCATTTCTGTGAAGAGCCCAGAGGTGGGGTGGGAGTGTGGGGAGGGTCAGACATGCTCTAAAGAGCAAGTCATTCCCAGGAAGGCAGCTGCTCACAGAGAATCTGTAGACCACAGAAATGATGGGTTGGACTGTTTCTGGCTCCTGATGCTTTAACGACTGGCCCTGATTTATCAAATTCCATTACCCATTGTTCTCCATTGCATTGGAAAAGTGTGTATCAATTTTCATTTATTATGTGGATAGAGCATGGTTAAATCATAAAGTTAATTCCATATAAAAGTAAACCAATAGAAGTTGAAGTGTTAATGTAACATTGTGTTGTTGTTTTAGGTGTGTCATAGCTGTTGGATGGGACAGAAGAATAAATGTGTATTTTGTAAGTGAAATGCAACACATGAAGACATTTAAAAAACTGTCCTCTTGGGTTGACTTTCCACCCTCCTTCCTCCCTCTCTCAATTTTTAGTGTGTTTTTATTATTTTAATTGTGTGGGGGATATGCATGTGCGTATAGGCGTCTGCAGAGTCCAAAAGCATCAGATGCTCTATTGTTGGAGTTAGAGTTGAGTGCTGAGAACTGAACTCAGGTCCTCTGGAAGACTGACAGTGCTCTTGATGCTCTTAACCTCTGAGCCATCCTTCCAGCACTCTGCCTCTCTGCCTCTCCTTTAAGAGTAGATTTGAAGCCAGGTGGTGGCAGCACACGCCTTTAACCCCAGTATTCAGGAGGCAGAGGCAGGTGGATCTCTGTGAGTTCAAGGCCAGTGTGGTCTACAGAGGAGTTCCAGGACAGTCTCCAAAGCTACACAGAGAAACCCTGTCAAAAGAAAGAAAGAAAGGAAGAAAGAAAGAAAGGAAGGAAGGAAGGAAGGGGAAGGGAAGGGAAGGGGAAGGGAAGGGAAGGGAAGGGAAGGGAAGGGAAGAAAAGGAAGGGAAGAAAAGGAAGGGAAGAAAAGGAAGGGAAGGGAAGAAAAGGAAGGAAAGGAAAGGAAAGGAAAGAAGGAAAGGAAAGGAAAGGAAAGGAAAGGAAAGGAAAGGAAAGGAAAGGAAAGGAAAGGAAAGGAAAGGAAAGGAAAGGAAAGGAAAGGAAAGGAAAGGAAAGGAAAAGCTTTTGCTGCCTGGTATAAGACAAGTGACATGCACAGGATTCTCTCTTTTTATTTTCCCTTGTTCTTTCCTCTCTCCTCCCTTTATTTTTTGAAAGATGCTCCCTTCCCCCAATATTTTCCCAATGTTCCCCTTGAAAGAATGTGCCAGCTAGGAAAGCTGCCAGGATCTCTAGGTTCCTGGGAGCCAGGAGGTGCCTTCACAGGTCTTGAGTTACCCTGATAGCTCACACTTTCTCCTGCTTCCCCACCTACAGCTCCTACTGGGGCCCCCTCCCCAGCCTGAGGGGTTTCCCATCCTGCTGGCAAAAAGATCCGGGGCTTAGGGGAAGGCTGACTTTTATTTTCTTCCTTCCTCCCCACCTGTCTTTTAGAGTATCCCAGAGCCTCTCCAACCAGGAAGAGGAAATGAAAGGCCACACATAGGCATCTCTACAGACACGAAATCCCTCTTTATGAAGGGGATTAAGAGACAGAAGTTAAAGCATTGCCAAAACTAAGTTTTAAATCTACCTGTGACATTTTATTACCTTGCTTGCTATGCTGGGTGGTCCTGGATTTCCAAACGCATTCAAATGCTGTCCGGGCCTTTTATTCATTGAAAGTTCACTATATTTCACAGCTTAAGCCTTGCATCTTGAGAGTGATTTGAGAGATGAATACCTGGGAAGTTTCAGCACTGAATTTGTCCTTTGGTATTATAACTTTCGAGGCTGATGGCTTTGGGTTTAGCCCAGGAAACAGCTCTGGGTCTTATTATGAAGGCAAAGTTATGCAGTGGATCTCGAAGAGCTTGTCAGTTGACATACGATTTGCTGAAATGCAATCACCCAGATGTCAGGAGTGGATTGCTTTTTCTTCCCACTGGCACTTGGGGAATTTGCTTTGACATTTCAAAAATCTGCATCAATGGTGGGGTGAGGGGTAGGGTTATGAAATGTGCTAATGCCTTCTCTCTGAAGTTGTGAGTGTGTTGGCAGCTCATTTTATGGCTCGTACAATGTGTCCTGTTTGGCTTTGGATACAGGACATACCTTGTGATTTTCATCATTTCTGGAAGCCTCAACCCCACTGGCAGGACAACCTGGTGAGCCCCAACTACTGTCTGGTCCTCAATACACACAGTAGCACACAGTGAAAATCTCCTTCACTCAAGGGGCTACCCTGTATTTCCTGGACCTGCCACACATGCTCAATTTCCCAGAAACCTCTGCTATATATGGCAATAGTCCTGCCTGCATAGAACAAGGTGCACTGAGATTCAGACAGCTGCCTCCTCTCTGGGAAAGGTGATGGCCCCAATGTTCAAGGTGTGGTGTGAGGCCAGAGGGCAAGGTTCCAAGCTGCTCTCCATGAGGCCAGCTGGGAATCCCCAAGTGTGGGAAGTTCAAGGTGGGGTGTGGGTTTTTGTTGCGTCTGCCGCGCAGCCTGTGTCCGAGAACGTGCAGAGGGTGTCGGGGATTGACAACACAGAGACTCGTTCAACCATGTAAAGAAAACTTTAAGCAGGCCCCAAAAAGGTTCAAGAAAACTTCCTAAGAAAGGCTCTCTCCAGAAAAGCTTCTGCTCTCTCCTCTACCCTGGCTGGTTCTGCCCTGACACCAGAGGTGGATGTGGGTGGGTCTGAAGGTGCGGTTAGTCTTTGGACAAGGTCGAGGTCAGGGCGGTTTCTGTGGGCAGGCCTTTTCCAGGAACTTATTGCCCTGGGCATTGTATTGTTTTTAGTAAACATGTTTTTAGTAAACATTGTCTTACAGCTGCCTGCTCCCAGGCCATGGGGAAGTGGGTCTCTGCTCAAGGTCTGGTGTTCCCACAGGTTTTGCCAAAGCAGCATTCATTTCCTCTTCCTTCTTGGTGAACCAAATTGCATTCATGGTGTTATGGCATTCCTGACTCTCCATGACTGGTTAGAGGCTCAGAGCTGGGGAATGGCTTGCAATGCTTGTTAGAGGTCAGAACGTTCCAGCTCTCTATAGCTACCCAGGGATAAATGACTTCCTTCAAAACTGTCTGGGTGTCAAGGCAGTAAGACAAAGGAACAGAAAACAAGGCCATCCTGCCCAACTGTCTGCCACTGTCCCACCTACCTTATGTGCCCTACAAATATTCCAGAGGGCACATGTCACTAGAATACAAACTCCATTAGCTTTGTTAGGGTTACTATTGCTGTGAAGAGATGATATGGCCAATGAAACTTGGGAGAGGAGGGTTTATTTGGCTTACACTTCCACATCATAGTCCATCATTGAAGGAAGTCAGGACAGGAACTCAGACAAGGCAGGAACCTGGAGGTAGGAGCTGATGCAGAGGCCATGGAGTAGTGCTGCTTACTGGCTTATTCCTCATGGCTTGCTCAGCCTGCTATCTTTATAGAACCCAGGACCGCCAGCCCAGGAATGGCCCCACCCACAATGGACTGGGCCCTCTCCCATCAATCACTAATTGAGAAAGCGTCCCACAGACTTGCCTATAGCTTATCTTATAGAGGTATTTTTTTTCAACTGAAGCTCCCTCCTCTCTGATGACTCTAGCTTATTTTGACATAAGATAGAGTCATAAAATTAACCAATACATAAAATTAACCAATACATTCATGAAACCAGTCCTCAGCTGTCCTCCTCTTATCCAGTGCCTAGCTAAGTTTTCATTCATCCAGCATCCACTGGGTGCCTCTGTGGACCAAGTGTTGTTTATGGGATCTGCAATGGTAAACAAGCCCTGACATGGCCTTGTCTTCACAGAGCTTGCAGTCTAGTGAGCATAGAGGGAAGTAATAAAGCTATAATGCAAGGCTCCCTGGGTAGCCATGGCCTTTGGATATCACACTGGGTTAGTGAAGTGCATATTACTTAGTCCTCCATCATGCATACATATTTATGGAGCATTGGCATACTCATGCACTTAGTAGGCAGGCATAGAAGAGACAAATAATGATTCTTGAGATGCCCCCCAGACAGGTGAGCAATGGAGGAGGTAGGAAGCATGGATCCTAGCAAATTAATGATGATAAGTAATAAGTGATCATGATTTGATTTTTTGTTTGTTTTTTGTTTTTCGAGACAGGGTTTCTCTGTGGCTTTGGAGGCTGTCCTGGAACTCGCTTGGTAGTCCAGGCTGGTCTCAAACTCACAGAGATCCGCCTGCCTCTGCCTCCCAAGTGCTGGGATTAAAGGCGTGCGCCACCAACGCCCGGCCTGTGATCATGATTTGAAAGCCGCTAGCTTTGCTGTAACAGTATCTAGGAGACTGAAAGATCGAAAGGTGTTTTTTTTGGGGGGGGGAGAAGATAATCTTCATGAGGCCCAAGAGGAGACGCTTGAGCACAGTACGGAGGCATAGAGTGTGTGTTGTCTGGAAGGACTGTGGGGAATCTGACTTGCTGGCACATTAGGAGTAGGAGGGAAGATATGCTGATGAGCTACCCTAACAGAATGTGCATGCTATAATGCTTAAACAACAGAAATCTATTTCCTTGGGTTCCGGTCCTGAGGTTGGGGTGTCAGCATGGTCAGGTTCTGGTGAGGGCTCCCTTTCTGGCTTACAGATAGATAGCTGACTGCTGTCAGCATCTCTTTGCTATGTCCTCACACAACAGAGAGAGCATGAGCTGTGTGCCTCTTCCTGTTCTTAGATGGACCCTAATTCCAGCATGGGGACCACATCCTCATGGGCTCATCTGATGCCAAGAACCTCTGTAAATATCATCACCTTGTGTTAGGGTTTTGACATGTGAATTTGAGGGTGGGACACAAACATGCAGCCCAAGAATAGAAAAGAAAACTTTGTTCTACGGTTGGGGTAGGACATGGAAAAGCCCAAACCCAAGCGCTCAACACACATGTAGATTAGTAGGATAGGAGTGGGAATCTGGCAGTAGAGGATCATGGGAAAGATATAGCCGTTAGCCTTCTCTTTCCCAAGTCTGGCACCATTCTCCGTGTTTTAACAGAGCATCTTAGTTGATCAAGCCAAGTCCTCAAGGGACACCCTGTGGCAAGTACGTGAGGACAAGGGTAGAGGGACAGGCTAATACAGCTGAGTGACACCAGTTGCTATTACATAGTAAGTGCTCACTGTGAGAAATGTGAGGTGCTCGTGGCCTGGAGCCTTTGAAATCTATGGCACTGGTCTCCACACACCACCTTCACCAGAGGCACCTGTGTCAAGCTCTTCCTTTGGAGAGAGGTGTATGGCTTCAATTCCCATTGACGGTTACACCTCAGTGGAGGGCAAATGGGAGTGCCAGGCTCCACTCTACCCCAGTATGTGGGTTTGGAACTGGTGGGAAACCAGACCTCCTTAGTGGGTGACTTGGTTCTCTTGTTCCACTGCTGTCCATATGTGGCCAGAATGAGGACAGCTTGTCAACAACCTGCTTGCTGGCAAGATGATGGTGTAAGGACATACTGCTTCCCCTAGAGGTGATGGCCAAGCAGGGACACGCAGCAACACCATGGTTGTCATACAGAGAGAGATTCTCACTTGAAAACGTAGAGATCCCCTGTGCATCTGATTTTAGGGATCAAGTTATCTCCAAAGTTGCTGTAGGTGACTCGGGACCTGATTTCTCAGCTCTGTCTTTCTTTCTTAGAACCATGGGCACAAAGAGGACATCCTCTGTGTGGCCCAGTGCCCACCTTTTCTTCTGGCCACCTCCAGTTATGATGGAGAGATAATAGTTTGGAATGTCATCTCAGGCCACGTGCACTGCAAGTTGAACTCTCCCAGCCCCGTGGATGACCAGGACCCTGGAGAAGGTAGGTAAGGGGAAGGCTCTGTAACCTTTGTACACAGACTGCCCTGCCCCCATCAGCTTGAACTTGACAAACTGAAGGAGTCTCCATTCTGGGCCACTTCCTCCTTGGGAGGGATTGGCTTTGTGTCATGTTTCCCTCCCAAATCTAGGAGAAAGCTAAAGTCCAGCCCACATCTCTAGATGCCTGTCCATCAAAGTCTATCTCACAGTCTCTTTGAGGTCTTAGTTTATCTGCTCCCAACCTGAAGAATGTCCCCACTGAGCCCCTGAGGTTTGCTGCCACCATTCTTCCTCTTCCTCCTCTATTACCATCTGCCTGACACACCTTCTTCCACCCTGCTAGAAGCCTGTCCCCAGGCCCAGCCAGACACCGTCCCCTAAACATCTCATCCAACTGCCAGTTTTCAGGCTTCCTCAGCCTCCTCTGGTGGCCCAGGACCCACAGATCTCCTGCCTCAATCCCACCTTATTGCTTGAGTATTCAATTGCAAAACTTCACCCCCACCCGATGGGTTTGTTTACCTGGTTCCATTCCTTTTCTTTTTGTTTTTTGTTTTGTTTTTGTTTTTGTTTTTGTTGTTTTTGTTTGGAGACAGGATTTCTCTTTGTAGCCCAAGCTGTTCTGGAACTCACTCTGTAGACCAGACTGGCCTCAAACTCACAGAGATCCACCTGCCTCTGCCTCCTGAGTACTGAGATTAAATGCATGTGCCACCACCACTTGGCTATCCTGGTTCCATTTCTTCAGAACCCTCTCTGTCTGTGAATGAACATAACTTCATTCATTTCTGTAGTCATCAAAGCAATGATGAGACAAACACACCTGTCCAGTACTATGTGTGGGGGTGGAATCGTGAACCTCTTCACAATCTTGCATGATGAACAAGACACAAATAGAGATGTCTATCAGCTTTACTGCTGGGTGTGCAGGGCTGGGAGCCAGCTATAGCCTATAGCCAAATAGGTTTCCTCCCCAACCCTCCCCACTTAACAGCCCAGACTGAGAGGAGGAGATACAGGAAGTTAGTTGTTTGGGCACAGATTTAAGGAAAGCCTTTCATTTCCTGAGGTCCAACCCACAAAACCATGAGCGAATATTAGATCCTTGCTTTATATGTCTGATAACTCAGTAGCAATTTAAAAAAATCTGAGTCATTCAGTCAAAAATACTTCTGAGCTGCTCACAGGGGCATAACACTCTGAAGAGTGACATCAGGGCTATAAGATCTACAAGGGGTTCCTGGTCCAAATGCAGAGACAAACTGTGGGTACACAGAGAGTTAAAAATTAATAATAGTTCGAGGCCAGCCTGGTCTACAGAGCTAGTTCCAGGACAGCCTCCAAAACAATACAGAGAAACCCTGTCTCGAAAAACCAAAAAAAAATTAATAATAATAATAATGGTCAAGTTACGTGGTCAGCTTGAGTGCCACCTAGAGGAGAGAGACGCTAAAGCCTCAGGCAACCTAGACATCATAAGGGAATCTTACCTGCAGGCTAAGTCAGTTCCTAATCCCCATTTCTCCACTTGTTTAAAAAGAGTATTGAAACTGTCCCAAACCACCCCCTAAAAAGATTATTCTCTGCAGTTCTCTGAGGACATCTAATCATTTCTTTTTCAGTTTTTTTTAAATTTTTTTATAAATCTTTTGGGAGGAAAGAGATGGCGTCCATTATTTCCTTTGCCATTAAAATGAAATTAAAGTCACTGGCCAAGGATATGATGATGATGTTTCAGGAAGCAATTCTGATGCAAAAGCCTGTTCACAGTAACAATTACTGCTCTACGTTACCACAAACTGTAAGCAGTCACTTTTTGAGAAGCCCTTCTGATACAGAAACACAAATCCAGCCATCACCACAGTGATGCTTCTGCAAGGCAAAATTCTCTCACACACACACTCACACATGCTGTCTCTTACACACACACATAAACTCTCACATGCACACACACTCTCTCACACACATATTCTCACATATGCACACACATTCTCTTTCTCCTTCCCCCTCACACACACACTCACACATGCCCTCTCTCACACACATTCACACTTTCTCTCACACACACATACATGTAGTCAGATTTTCTGTCCCACTTGGTCCCATTGCTGTTTAGCCCCAAATAAACACACAGAGACTTATGTTAATTATAAACTTGTTTGGCCAATGGCTCAGGATCTTTACTGGCTAGCTCTCTCTTAAATATTAACCCATAACTACTAGTCTATGTATTTCTACATGGTCTTATCTTACTGGAGATTGCCCAGACCTGTTACTCCTCTCTGTGTCCTCTCCCCAGCATTCTCCTCATCTGGTGGCCCCATCTATCCTTCCTGCCTGGTTACTGGCCAACCAGTGTTTAATTCATCAACCAATAAGAGAAACATATATGCAGAAGGACATCCCCCATCACATACATTCTCTGTCTCTCACATACACACACATACTCACACATGCATGCACACACACACATATGCACACACACAGACGCTCTCCCTCCTCTCTCTCTCACACACACACACATATACACTCTCTCACATATACACATACACATGCTCCCTCACACATGCGTGCACACACACATATACACATATACACTCTCCCCCACTCTCTCTCACACACACTCTCACACACACACACACCACACACACACCCACTCAGAGTGGCATACCCTTCCATGAAGGAGCAGCCTGGCAGTTTCTTAACAGCCACATCAAAGCACAAAGAGGATGGTGCAGAAGATGCCATCTTGTATGGAAAACTATGGATCTCCTCAGGGAAGGGGCTTACTCTGCTCTCAAGGCAAAGCTGGACTAGATGAAATCATTATTTGGCAAACACACTAATGTTTTAGCTACATTCTTGGGCATAATGGGGACTGTTAATTCTTCTTCCCAATCAGAACGAATTTGATTATAAGAGAGACCAAGGGACTCCAACCAGGCCAAAGTTTAGGAAAGTGTCCCATCTGTGGAGGAGTTCTATGTCGGGAAGTAATCAATACTTACTGGTTAGCTCTGTCATCAGTCAGTTTCCCACAGCTTATTTTATCTGCTGCTCTCACTGACCCTGAGAGATAGGTGCTGTCTATCAGCTTCCATCAGTGGGGAGCCCGACACATGATAACAGTTGCCATGGGTTGAGCAATTTTGAGAGAGGCACTTTGGGGTCATTAATCCCTTCAGCCTTCACATTGAGGTCATATAAGGGGCTTACGTAGTCTACCCTGTGAAGGAGAAGTCATCTTCACGTGATAGATACACACAGCTGAGGTGTCGGGAGGTGGAACACATTCCCAGACTTCACATGGGGAAGAAAGAGGATGGCATTCCTCACCATACTTTTGCCACCATCCCTGAGATGGATGTGGGCAGGTGAATGGATGTCATCTTTGAACTTCCCAAACATCCACTTCCTAATACCCTTATATAATATTGGGGGCTGTAAGCATTCTGTACCTATATTAGGTTTCTCCACCAATGTAGTAAGCCAAATTGAGCTGAATCAAAATGTAAAGGACCAGGTTTAATCTGAGCAAAGCACTCTAGGTGACTCCCGGGAAAGGGAGCAGGAGAGATTGCATGGCTGGTCTATAGACAAGGGCTTAAATACCCCAAGGGCCAGTCTTGTGCTTGGGGGTAGACTTTTGGCAGTCTTTCTGAGAGGGTCAGGGTTTGCAGTAGGAAGAAGTGGGACTAAGGTGGAGCTTTCAACTGAACACTATGCAGCTCCCATTTCCTCTCTAGAGCCCCGCCCCCAAGTGTGGCTCATGGGAGGACACAATATCCTTTGTGTCTCTTGGAGGCAGGGATTTGGGTAGGTTCACAAGATTTTTATTCAATGGCAAATATTTGAGTCTCACATACTAAGGGACCCCAAGCCCTGGCAGATGAGGGAGCTCTGGGGACATAGACCTAGGATAATTCATGGGTGAATTGTTAGTGTCCATTGAGTCCTGTCTCCTGTCCATAGTGTCTGTATCCTCCACAGAGTCTTCTCTGCCTAGGCCATTATCCAAGAGTCAGATCCATCATAGCCGACTGGAGACACCTCCCCTAGCTCTGTCCCCTCCTGCTTGCACCAAGAGTGTTTTGTTTATTTCTTGGGAGTTTTTGATGGTTTTGTTCTGGTCTCTGCTGCTGCTTGCCCCTCACACAGCATGAAGCTGTATCCATAAGACTCCCTCAGATGTAGCTGAAAAATAAGCAGGAAGGGATGAGGATCTTACGGTCATGAACAAATCTTCCCATTTGTTTAACCGTGAATCTACTCTTCTACTACAGCCCACTGTGTGGTGAAGGTCTCTGCTGAACTACGGGTGTCCTCAAAGGTGCTCAGCCACGGGTGCTTTGGGGAAGTGTCTGGACATCCTGGACTAATGACCATCCTGACCCCAGAGTTCTTGCCTGTTTATGCTGCCTGGACTTCTCAGACTCTCAACCTGTCCTTGTAGCTCATGCCACATCCCTACTCTTTCTCTAGAAGTCCTGGGGTTGAGGAAAGGGAGGGTTGGAGTGCCCACAGGCTGCTGGAGCCATTATCCTTCAGTCCCCAGCTAGACTTTTAACCAAAGGAGGCCATCTTTCTCTGTTTGCTTTCCAAATGTTGCCAGGGCAACTATGTGCAAGAAAGATGACTATATATGTCAGAGAAAGAGAGTGAGAGCAAGTGAGTGAAAGACAGAGAGAGAGGGAGAGACAGAGGCAGAGGCAGAGACAGAGACAGAGACAGAGAGAGACAGAGAGAGAAAGAGACAGAGAGAGAGCTGTGATGGAGTGGGTTAGGTTTAAGGCAGAGAGATTGTGAAAACAAGCCAAAAAAAAGAACTGTTCTCATCTCCAGGCCAAGACAGGAGTGTTTCCCGACTCGCCTTCCTAAAGACTCGAGCAACAAAGTTGGACTCAGCAGCTGCTTCTCTCATAAGCAACGGACCCGAAGGTGAGCCTCTCACTTCCAAGATAAGGCCATCGCTGGTCCAGGATGGGTAAGTTAGGCACCTGAGCGGCACTGTCACCTCAGGCTTCCTCTGCTGTCTCATCGCTGCCTTGCTAACAAATCCCAGGCTAACAGCCCAGCCCACGTCAACCTCAGCAGACCCTATTCCCTCAGCCTATCCTCCTTCACATCAAAACCCCATGCCCTGTAGTTCCTACTGCCTGCTGGGCCCCTGGCCACCTACAAGGGTGACTGGCCTCAGGCATGCCAAGGAGAGTGTGAGGCCTGTACTGACAACATTAAATTAGGCTAAACAGAAAAGCACAAGGCAAAGGAAGCTGGCGAAGTCAGCCACAGGTAACCCCACAGAGGAAGGCCAAAGGGTCACACAGAGAAGAGTCGGCAGGATGTTGGGGTCAGCGACGGAACTGGCACAGCGTACAGAGAAGAGAGAGCTCAGCAGGGCCATCAGCTAGCTAGCTGACATTAACCCAGGGCCAGGTCCTTCAAGCTTCAACTGTAACAAGTGGGCACAAATCCAGCCCCCAAATGCTCTAGGGTTTTAGTAAAAGTACAAGTTAAAGGCAGTGGTCATGCTGTCCTGGTAGCAGGGGGAGGCTAGCCTATATATATTTGGTCCCAGGGTGCTTGGTTGTTTGTCACCATGGAGAGGCCACCTCTGCCTCCTTGTCACAGCCCACACTGTGGGTCTTTTGACATCAGTGATGTTGTGGATGGGGGGGCTCAGCTGTCTCTGCCTCCTTCCTGATCCTTTGTTTTACCTGGCAGGAGCCCAGCCTCCTCTCTCCTACAGCTACCCCAAGAGGAGATGATCTGGGGGGGGGCGGGGACGGGGGAAGACAACACACCATGGAACACTTCACAAAGCCTGGATATCTGAACCCACAAGGAAAGCACAGGCAAGAACCGAAGTCGCTAGGCCAGGCGCATTGTGACAAGTTTTTAATTAAAATAGTGGGTACTCCCAACGGGAAGACATTGATTCCCAGCATGGCACATACTGTCCTGTCCTTAACAGTCAAAGAAGGACACCCTGATTAGTGGAGGAGAGCCCACTGAATCATCAAAATCAAAATCCCTCCCTAATACGGTCTTAACAGTTCTAACTGAAGAAAATAAAACAAGTAAGGAAGAGATGTGTGTCTGTCTGCCATGGCTCCCCACCCCCACCCCGTGTAAGACCACAGGGTGCCCTGCCGTTTTACCTTCATTATAGTGGCTATGCTCTCCAGTCCCTCTCTCCCCACTAAGGTCATAACCTGGGGATTCTGTTTCCCCAGACAATGACTCTGTTGCTGCTGATAAAGGTAGTTCTAAGTTAAGTCTCTATCCTCTAATAAAACTCGAGATTCACAACTTTGTTTATAGTGGATCAACATTGACCACAAGCTTCTGTCAGTCAATTTAGTAAACAACAGAAGCAACTTCCAGTCACTCAACCCAAACAGAACCCAGAATCTCACAGGCATTCACATATATTGATAAATTAACCCTGACTCCCATTTCCCAGCTAAATATTTAGGAAGCCAAATCCGCACAAATGCTCTAGATTTTTATGCAAACGAATGAAATCCTGCAATGATTAGGACCACAAACTTTACTTTCTATGACATCTTTGGGTCTGGATTTTGTAATAACTGTGGGATGACCCTGGCACTTGAGGTGTAGTAGATTCTAGGAGAATGTGTTTTCTATGGTAAGAGGTTGAAAGAGAAATGACATCAAAATATAGAGAAGAGATCCACTAAGTTTCTCAAAAGTTCTTCTTTTCCAAAAAAAAGAAAGCAAAAACCCAACAAACCTGCTTCCACCTATAAGTTAAAACAGTGCAGTCATGATAGCTTGAACTCCACACAGAATTCCTCTTTTACCTTCAGAGTTAAGTAAGTCCTAAGAAGGGTACAGAGTTAAAATAAAAGATTCATGGTTGAATGGAGTATTCTCCATTCCTACAAAAAAAAAAAAAAAAAGACTCGAGATTCAAAGGCTAACATGAAAACCCACCAGCTCAGAGAGTTAGAATAGCAATTTACTAACTTCCTGTCTTTGCTGGCGTCCCTGGAAACCACCCCCTTTCCCACGGCACCCCCACCAAAAAAAAAACAAAAAAACAAAAAAACAAACAAACAAACAAAAACCCCCGCTAAGCTCCTCCCTACTACTTCCGGTCAACCAGTTGCTAACCCCACCCCTCTGAGCCCAGGTTAGTTTTATTTAATTATCGCAAATGCATCCCATCTTTCCATAGTTAACAAATGTAGCATGAACAAATGTAACATATCTTTGCCTAGTTAAACAAATATTCCCACAACAATGGGTTCTGCCCAGTACACTCTCAGAGCCCTTAGCTGGCTGGGCAGCCCGCTCCTTACTGTTTTCCTCCTACTTAGGTTCTGTCAATTTCTGGAAACTCTTTAGTGGAGCTGGCCTCATAGCAAACTTTATTCCGGTAAGTTGCAGAGAAAACTGGGTACTTTCTGGCTATGGGTTTATTTTGTTGTTGCTGTTGTTAGTTTTGTTGTTGTTGTCATTGCTTATTTGTTCCCTGATGATAACCTATGTATTGGGATTCTCAGTCAGGTCTTCTTGACATTTCTCCCTGACTGGAGTTGGTTACTTTTTTTTTATCTTTGCCTTCAATGTGTCTTAGTCCAGAGGGAATGCCCGGGTGAGCAGCATCGTGGTGACATCAGAAGACACGCTCACCTACCTGGCTGACCAGCAAGGCTTTGTACATGTCTATGACATCCAGAAGTATGGTCTCCAGGGACCAGAGTTACAGGCTCCCAACAGTATGCAGTTAATTTCTTCAATCTAGATAAGATTGCTTTGGTTTTTATGTGATGGTTTTCATGTGATGGTCTTGTGGGGAAATTAAGTTGTCCCAGTAGGGAGGGATTACTCTCAAAACCCTTGGAAAGCAGAAATATGGTTTCCTGAAAACATTTGATGTCAGCGAGGATGCAGGAAAGGGGTCATCAGATAATATGGAACAGGGGTTGGTTGCTAGATGGCAACTGAGGGGCATGTTGACAACCTATGTCTAGTGCTGCAAATGACAGTTCTACTTCTAGATATTTGGTGAATGAAATGACAAATGTGCACAGAGATTTACTTACAAGATTGTGCAACAACACATTATTTTTCAGAAAGAGAGAAAGCACTTACATTAGTTTGTATTTCCAACACTCAAATAAAATCCAGGTACATACACCCTTACGTCACCATCCCCTCTCTCCTCAGAGAGGATTGTGGGCATGATGGCCCACCTTTATCCCAGCTCTCAGGAGTTGGAAACTGAGGACCACCAGGGCAAGCTAGCTAACTAGATTAGACTCATCAATTAACCTTGCCTCAGTAAATAAAGATCGATGGAACAAGACCCCCAACATCAACCTGGGGTCTTTACATCTAAATGTGTGCACATGCACACACATCTGTACCCACATACTTGCAAACTTGCAATCATGCCATGTACATGCACACATGAAATAAAGACCACTGAGGAAAATGATTGTGTAAGTATGTCACACTGGTCCTATTTTGTGCACTTTCAGAGCTGGTATGGAGGGGGTGGTCTTGAACATAATAGGTACTTGGTGCTTACTTAGGGAATTAAAGCAGAAAGACCCCAACAGCACATCAGTGCCACTTCCAACTGGGCACATACACACATCTGCACTGGACACCTTCCTGCAGGATCCTGTTCATATGTCTTCTTTACTTCTATTTAGCAGTGACATCATGGAAGGCTCATGACAGCACGGTGACATCGTGAGTACCATCCCTTGAAGGGTTCAGTAATCTATAAAGGAAGGTAGTAATTGTCCAAGTTTTGATGAAATCAGTCCTCTCAAGATTGAAGTGAGCTTGTCGAAGGAGGGAAACTGCATTTCCATTCTGCTCCTGATGAGACAGGATGAAGGTGGTCCACATGGAGCCAGAGGAAGAGACTCAGTCATGGTTTTCCTTGTTCATGGGTAGTTCTCCTTGTATTGAGCTGGCACTCTACTGCAAGTTCATGAGCTTAGTAGGTTTGGGTTTATATGAGGCTTGGAAGGAGTCAGTGCCAACTTGCTGGGTCATTCCTTCTGACCGCTCGCTCTTCCGCCCACCTGATCACCTGTAAGGCCATGTCCCATACATCCCCCTTGGTGTCTTGGGAGTGGACTTGGGATTTTGGAGGGTGCAATGTGTGAGAGGAAATGGGGGAAAGAATGGCTTTTAAAAGTGGATCTAGGCCGGGCGGTGGTGGCGCATGCCTTTAATCCCAGCACTTGGGAGGCAGAGGCAGGCGGATCTCTGTGAGTTTGAGACCAGGCTGGACCGATAGCCTCCAAAACAATACAGAGAAACCCTCTCATAAAAAAAAACAAAAAAACAAAAAAAAGTGGATCTATTGCATTCTATTGGATCCAGGGTCCCTCCCTTTCTTGCAGAACAGCCTTGACAAACCCCTTCTCTCCCTTTATCTTGCTAGTCTGGAGCTGATAGAGAGAGATGACATCTTACTGTCATCCTCCCTTGACTGCACTGTGAGCCTGTGGAGCAGAGATGGCGCGTACATCGGTAAGCTCCTGTGTAACGTGTAGTCTTCCTGCCAGTCGCTTGGGTCCTGCTGCTGTCTCACTATATTAATTATGAAGCTGTTGGCCATTTGCTTGGTTTCTTATTGGCTAGCTCTGACTTAATTATTAATCCATAACTGCTAATCTGAGTATTTCCACGTGGTCTTCTCTTACCGGAGAAAGGGTCTGGACCTCTTACTCTTCCAGTGTCCTACATCATGACTGACTGTGCCTCTGTTTCTCAGAATCCTCCTCAGCTCCTAGTCCCACCTATCTTGCTTCCCTATTGACCAATCATGCTTTATTTAATCAACCAGCGGGACAACATATACACAGAAGGACGTCCCCCATCAGTACTGCCTCTGCTTGGTTTGGGAACAAAGGTGCCATGGCTCCACTGAGTCACAGGTCCTCTGTGGTAAAGTATATTAGTGTGTTCAGGCTGCCATAAACAGAGTACCATAGACTGGGTAGTTCATTATTTCATCTCACTGTGGACTTTGGAAGTCCACCATGGTTGTCTCCACATGGCCAGGTTCTGGTGAGGAATCCTCTCAGGTTTCAGAGCACTGGCCCCTTAATGTACACATCATAAAGACAGTTCTCTGTTTCCTCCTACAAGAACATTAATGTTCTTAGGCCTCATGAGTTTATTTAAAGTTAATCACCTCACCAGGGTCCCTGTCTCCAAATGCAGTCATCTTGGGGGCATCAACATACACATTTTTGGGGGTGATAGGATTTAGTCTGTACCATAATATCAACTTCCTGTCTCCAAAATTAGAAAAGTAAAAACCAATGACCTTTGAACTCATTGAGATCAGTGGGCTGAAGGTAGTCACTTTGGGAAGGAACTGTTTTATCATAAGGATTGTATCTAGGTAGAGACATTCAGCTGTTTGGTAAGCAAAGGCCTGACGTAAATTGACCATAATACCAAGACTAGCCTAATCCACTGCTCAGAGGGACTGTGGCCTGTCTGAATGTAATGTTGTGACCCATAACTTGCCTTTCTTGAAATAGGTTTGTCACTGACTGAATTTATCTTTCAAGTTCTTAGTACATTATTGAGTAGCCTGCACACCTACATGGTAGTAGGCTCTCTAGGATTCTCTTTCAAGAGTTAGATGCCCTATATTTGTTTCCCATGAAACTGCCGGGCCATAGCTTAGCTGGACTGAGGTGGCCTCACCAGTCTTGAGGAGATCTACCCATGTTAGCCGTTAGAAGACGGGTCACCCCATTGTCATTTGCATGGTATTCATCTTTATTCCTCCAGGGACCTTTGGGCAGAATCACCCCTGGGATGTTTTCACCCCTGCCTCCTGGAGTCACACGAAAGTCCCCTTTGAGATTCTGACAGCCCCTCAGAGCATGCCCAGTCACCTGGTACTGGAAACAGACACAGGAACTGGGTGTCCCGGAGGATGGCCGGAGCAGGACGACGTGATGGAGAAGGCGGCCCTGTGCGAGGTTGGTGCCTGAACCAACTACTTGTGTTTCCTTCGCGGGCTCTCTGCTGATCAACACGGTGCACACATAGGCTAAGAGAACCAAAGCAGGATCTAGTGAACCATGGCAACGGGGAAAGGAGAACCTGTCTCCTCCAGCCTGGGCAATAGCACTGATGTGGACCAGGAGGACATGCGCTCCACCTGTGGCTCTAGAAAGGCAGCTGTCCCTGGCCTTGGAACCCAGGAGGCACAGCAGCATACTCAACCCTAGTGTCATATCTGAGAAGGGCAGACCCTGTACACTCAGCCCATACTTTACTCTGAGATGCATTTAAAACCAAGGGCTCCTGATAACTCAGAGGAGGCTGTGGTCCACTTAATGCTCAACTCTGTGAGAGTTAACATTGGAGCAAGAGATTTGGAGAGGACCCTGGTCCATGTAGCCTTGATTTAGAGCTCCCACGAAAGATATGGCTTTCCAAGAAATGCTTGTCCCTTAATAAATTGAAAAGAAGGTCATTTCATGAGATATTGCTTGTCAGTTATGTCACAATGCAAAGCCACTGCTCTGCCAGCAGAATCATGTCTTCAGCGTTTCCTTGGCAGCCTTATAGAATACAGACTGCCCCCCCCCGTGCCCCAGTATAACCCAGCCACTGACTCCAGTTTAGAGCCCCAGAAGTGTTTAAAATAGACACAAAGGATCCAGGCCAGCACACTCGAGGGAAAGACTGCCTCACCTGACTCACCGCTCCAGTCTCAAGGCTATCAAATGATACCATGACTGTAGTCTGGGGACACTCAGAATGTGGCTCACACTGTTGGCTGATTTAGAAACAGTCATTTCAGCCAGCATTCAACATGGAGAACGCTGATGTATTCATTAGTTCTGATAGACCCGCAATTAAGAAAACAAAAGCTCAGGCGGAGGTGGGAAGAGAGAAAAGGAGGGGAGACCTAGGGAGAAGTCCAAGTTCAGGGTCAATGGTGGGGGTGGATGTCAGTGGGGGGGGGGTTGGGAGAGGACAAAGTGGGAGGAAGAGGAGACAAAGAAGAAAAGGAGAAAGGTAGAGGCAGGAGGAGGGATGGAGAGGGAAAGAGGCAGACGATGTTCCCTGTGACAAAATAATTCATGGTATACTTGCTGTCCAAGGATGAACAAAGTCTTCCTGAGTGATCTTGTCTAAGAAAACATCATTTGGATCAGTTGAACTACAGTAGGTACTTGGAAAACCAGTCAAAAGTTTATATTAATTACTCTTCTATTGCCGTGATAAAAACACATGACCATGGCTACTTGGTGAAGGAAAGGTTTGTTTGGCTTATGGGTCCAGAGGCGTGCTATAGACTGCAAGACTGCACAGTAATTAAACAGCCTCATTTCACAGGCTAACCCATCAGAGCCAGGGGCTCTGCATGAAGGAATTAAACCAAAATGTAGGACGTATTGGAGTTATAGCTTTGTGAATAAAAATGGCTGTTTCTTGCTGTAAATTTCTTGCTGTACCTTACTCGCATCTGTTACAAACTTGGGATTTATTTCCCATAATTCAGCACTATTTGATCATTTATTGGGCACAGTTTCTCCTTGTAATTGGAATTTACTGACAACATTCCTTAGCTATGTATGAAACCTATTTCTCATCACCAGGCCTCTGTTCCCTTCTCCAATGTAAACAGAGATCTGCCTTCCTGGAATTATCTTTACTGGCAGGCATTTGATTAGCTTTAGTGCCCAGGTAAAAATATTTCATTTTAGATGCTCCCAGTTATCCGAGGACATAAAATTACTACCTGCCTAAAACTGGTGATTCATATCCACTTAGGTAGATAAAAGTAAGCTTGCCTTGGTTTTACCTCACTGACAGAGAAGCAAAAACTTAAACCCTGCACTAAAAGATTCTCAAACTTCTTGCATTTACCTTCACCTTGGTCCTTGGTTCACTAACCCAAGATTGTAGTTCTGCATTTTACCTGAAAAGATAACGACAAAGGTTATCTGCTCATCCTTAGGAAACAGTAAACTTTCCTGAAGGCCTGTGCCGCCAAGCCCAAAGCACTGGAAGGCACCAGGTTCCATTCCTTGTACAAATTAAACTTAGGTCATCTCCTTGACTTATAGCCCTAAGCAATTGATGCTAAAAATTCTCTTAACAATGAACCATAGCAAAAGTGCTACAACAGACTGAATGAAGGCTGCATGTATTTCCTCTGCTGTTGATGCAGGTTGCCTAGTTACTGCCCATAGCTTACCCCGCCTGTTGAAAAACTGGCATGTGAGAGGTTTGGAAGGACATGTGGAGAAAAGGCAATTTTACCTTCTTCATAATATCTGCTGATCAATAGAATTTTAGCTTAAATACCTAGCTACACAATTTCTTCCTTTTAGATTCCCTGGTTGATTTAATCCTTAGTTGGCCCCGCTAGGAGCCCTCAATAACCATGCCTATCTAGTGTCATAAATAATAGCTGACAATTATTGCTGTATGTGTAAATCTTACCTGCTCTGGTCACTCTGAGAAACTCACATTGCATTGCCAAAAGGATTACTGTTGCAAGTGTATATGTACCAGTGCACCCAAGAACTCGTGTTAGAACAATAAAGAGACATACTGAGTAGAAGTCGTGTGTGAGCTGATGAGTTTCTTTTACCCTTAGACATTTTTCCCTCACGGGCTTTAGAGCTTTGGCTGGACCCTGTAGGGCCTGAGGGGACTGGTGCCCCAAAAGAGCCCATAAGAGGCATAAGAGTCCATCATGCCAGGGAGACACGGTAGCAAATGACGTGACAGCTAGAGCAGAAGCTGAGAACTCACATCCTAAAGACAGACACCAAGAGTGAGTGCTGGGAATGGTGCAAGGCTCTGCAAGCCCCAAGCTGAGAGAGTACACTAGAAATGGCGCCAGCTTTTATGAACACTCAAACCCCACTTCCAACAACACGTTTCAGCTTCTAAGCCTTGCAAACGGCACATCAGTGGTTTCCTGTCAGCTTGAACTTGACGTAAGCTAAAGTCATCTGAAAGGAGGGACCCTCAATTGAGAAAATGCTTCCATAAGATCCAGCTGTAGGCCATTTTCTTAATTAGTGATTGATTGGGAAGGGCCCAACCCATTGTGCGTGGTACCATCCTTGGGCTGGTGGTCCTGGGTTCCATAAGAAAATAGACTGAGTAGCCATGAGGAGCAAGCCAGTAAGCAGCTCCCCTCCATGGCCTCTGCATCATCTCCTGCCTCCAGGTTCCTGCCTTGTTTGAGTTCCTGTCCTGTTTGAATTCCTGTTGTGACTTCCTTTAATGATGAACAGTAATATGGAAGTATAAGCCAAATAAACCCTTTCCTCCCCAGCTTATTTTTTGGTCATGGTGTTTCATCAAGGCAATAGAAACTATTAACTAAGAAAGGGTTCAAGTATTCAAATGCCCAAGACTATGGGGGACTTCTCCTTCAAAACACCACAAAGTTACTTCTTAGATAAAAAGGACAGAAAACAAACCCATGAGCCCTTATATAGTGTATTTGCATCAGTAATCCAATGGGTAAAATGGCAGAATAAGGTGTTTCATTGCTGTTCCTGAGAGAGGGACCCCTGAGTTCCACTCTCAAATTGACTCATTAGTCATGTAATCTTCAGCAGTCCCTTCTGCTGAGCTGCAAATTGAAGGGTGGGTTTAGATGATCTAGAAGTTTCCTTCTGGCTTTAAAAATTGTGCTTGTCTAAATGTCTGTTAAAGAAAAACATGATGCATTCATTGGACTCAGAATGTTGGTAGTGCCTCTTCCAAGACTGTCAGGACCAGCAGAACTGTTCCAATGTGCCTGAAAAGGGGAGTGAGGATTGAGAAAAGAGACAAGAGAAAGAAGATAGAGCCAGGAGGGCTCTTGATGAACACTGCAGCAGCCCCAACTTTATTACTCATCACCCTTATATACCCCAAGCAAAAGGGGAAGACAAAAAACTTCCTTACCATGGCACAAGGAACAAACAAAAGTAATTACCTCCTTAACACTCAAAACATCTAGTAACCACACCCTAAGTCAAACATCCTGTTTTTTGGTCTTGAGGAGCAAGAATAGGTCTGAATTCTCTGACTTTAATTCAAGATGGAATGGAGTTAATACTGTGGGCTCCCACACACGATGCCAAGAGATAGCTCACAACCATAGTCAAAGTAATTTGAGTAGAGGCTGAAAAGAGCTAACAGGAAAATGCTACATACTCACTGAGACACGGCACTAAAGCTCCGTGAAGTTCTCTTGTCATCGGGCCAGCTCAGCCAGCCTGAGTCCTGTTCCAACAAAGAAAAGCCATGCACCCCACAGGAGGCTCCTGGTCCCAGTGACCAGCATGATCACGGTCCCGGTTCTCACATCCCCGTCTTCTTCCTCCAGACTGAACAGACCCCTAACCTCCCTTCCCCAGAAGGTCCCACTGTTGAAGCGGAGGTGGAAGAAGACAAAAGCCGATGGTCTGCATTTTGCCGTGGCAGGTCGGTCTGGAAAATCAGGCAGGTCCAAGCTGTTCTCGGTCGAGGCCTGTTAGCCCTCTCTGTTTCCGACATGTGTTACTTGTCCCTAAGCTCCCCCAGCCTGTGAATATAAATAAGGTCACTACATAAATGTCACCTATTGCGTGTCTTATCTATGTGATTCAACGCCCCCCCATTTTATTTGGCTGCCACACATAACCAGAACCCCATACATCCATCTTTGCCACCAGCTCTGTGGCTGGTGTTGCTGGCCTCAGCAGCATAAGAGGCATTGTGGTCTCACTATCTCTCACACAGGTGCCTTGTATAGATAGCCCTTCTGGCTTCCTGAGGACATGTGGTGAGGAGGAAGGCCCCAGGGCTCCCAAACTTGCAAATCCCAGGCTGCCTCACAACCCTGTATGCACTCCAGATCCCCATGCGCTGGAATATGGCAGGTCCTAGAGATGCAGAGCGGATGAATGTGCCTCTCCAGTCCCCTGAGATGTTCTTCTCCAGATCTCAGTCACCAGCAGACCCCGGGAACAGCCCTTCAGTGTTCTCTGATGCCCCCCTCACCGTGAATCTAGGTTTGGAGGCTGGGTGAGTGATGGCCCCATCCTCACCATGTGTCGTGGTCATCCAGAGCTTAGGCTCCTTCCCCGCACAGCCTGTGTCCATCTCCACAGTTTGCTAACAGTAAAGACAGCTATAGGGACCCCTTGCCTCCCTGGAAGTGTGAACAGAGGCATAGGGAGTAAGGGGTCCAGGGCATCCGCTATCCAGCTGGATCTAAGACCACTGACACCATCTCCACTCTCAGCCGACAGAGTTAGCAGGGGAGCTGCACGATGATCCATCCTTACACACATCTGCCGGCCCTCTTTGGCCTATAGCTGCCTCTCTCCTTAAAGACACTGATGGAGGAGTGCAAAGAACTGTGGGAACACTGGTGCAGGGGATGCTGGGAGAGAGGGTGTTTGGACAGAGGGAATTCATGGTGACACTTGAGAGATATCAGTGGGAATGCTAGGATGTGGTCACCTTGAAGGGGTTTAAAAGGAGACAGGTGTTACCATATAGATGAACCTAAGGATATTGTGCTGAGTGGACAAAGTCGTCAGAAAACGATGCCAAGGCACAAAGTACCCAGAACAATCAGACTTATTACAAAGTGGAATGGCTGCTGTTAGGGTCTGAGGAGACGGGCATGAAGGGATGCTGTTTAATGTGTGTGTGTGTTCAGTTTTGTAGGGTAGAAGGGTCTGGGTGCTGAACATGGTGGAGTGCTTGAGAGGTGGAGGCAGGAAAATCCAGAGTTTAAGGTCACCCTCAGCTATATAGGGAGTTTAAAAAGTCAGAGACCAGCCTTAGGCTGTATGGGACTCTGTCTCAGAAAACTCAAAGAAAAACAAAGTTCTGGAAACGAATGGTGATTGTGGTTGTACAGCAGTGTGAATGTACTAAATATGTATTTGGCTTAGGTGGTCAACTTGTCCAGTGTGTTCTACCACAATTGAACATAAAGAACTGGAGGGGCTGGGAAAATGACTCCAGTTAAAAGCACTTGTTGCTCTTCTAGAAGATCCAGATTCAGTTCCCAGCACCCACACAGCAGTTCACAACCATCTGTAATTCCAGTTCTGGGGCTATGACGCCCTCTTCTGGCCTGTACAGACACACATACAGGCAAAACACCCATACACATAAAACAAAAATATTTTTCAAAGCAATTTAAAAATCCAGGTGTTGGTGGCACACGCCTTTAATCTCAGCCCTTGGGAGGCAGAGGCAGGTGGATCTCTGTGAGTTCAAAACCAGTCTGGTCTCCAGAGCATGTTCCAGGACAGGCTCCAAAGCAATACAGAGAAACACTGTAAGTTCTGGACTTGAGTAATTCAGTGTAATTGAAATGGTGTTGTGGTAGGGAGCGATTGGAACAAGAAAAGAATTGTAACAGTTGGAGCAGTTGTCTTTCCAAGGAACCTGGAAATGACCAGAAGGAAAGAGTTGGTGACAGACTGCCAAGGGGAAAAGGATTACACAGACATATGTATTTGGAAGGCTTGCTGGGGTGCTCAGTTGGGGGCTCTCGTAGCTGGCAGTCTCCAGACACCCAAAGAATCCTCACCCTTGTTCTCTTCCTCAGACTGCTGCCAGCACGAAGAAAACCTCGCTGGAAGATGCCCGAGCTCAAATGGCCCAGCATTTACCAGGCCCTCCAGTGTCACGAGGTCACCTGTGTGTCTGCTCTCGGGGAGAAGCCAGATCTGTCCATCATTGGCTCTGATATGTTCAACATCAGTTTCCACAGCCAGGAAAGAGGAGCGGAGCTTCTGGGAAGGAAGGAACTCTCACCCTGGAGCAGTCTTTCCTGAGTGCTGAGGACCTCAACTTCCTTGCTTGACAGTTCTTTCCTGTGTAAATAAAGGTCTATTTGAGATTAAGCTTTGCTCTGTGGGAGCAACGAAGACCAAAATAAAAAATGAACTCAGCCCAGGTGGCTTCATCCGAAGCAATTAGAGCTGAAATTTCAGAGAACAAGTTGGATTCGCAGTGCTCTTTCTGCAAAGTCAGTGTTTCAAGTGTGAAGAAAACCCAGAGCAGGTAGCCCCAAAACAGCTCCTCCACGGACCACCTACCACTTAGGGCACATCCCGCTGGGTAGGCTGAGGGCAAGGCAGAGCAGAGAGGCTGCTGGGAAACACAGCTGACATTTTGCTAGTGTGCTTTTTGCCAGAAGGCCTGATGTAGTCTGCTATCAATTCCTAACAACACCCGGAGAATGGACAGTTAGCAGTCATCTTACCAGTCAGGAAATGGAGGCTTCCAGAAGTCAATTGCTATGGGAGAGAGACCCATCAAGAGGGGTTTGGCCTTTTCTCCACCCCAGTACCCAGGAGAAGCTAGGTGTAGCTTCTAGGACCTGCGTGGTGGGGTAGGGTGGCAATCAGTCCCTCTGTGACCAGTACAGGTGGCAGATCAAAGGTGTTGGTGGCTATTCTGTCCTTTTTAACCCCGACTGCACCTGGGCTGCCAGTGATAGAGTCCTAGAGACTAAACTATGTTCCTGGTCTTGAGATAGAGCACTGTGGATTTTTCTGCTGTCTTTATAAAAAACAAATAGACATATGGAAAAGAGGGGCAAGAGGAGAAGGAAGGTAGGGTGGCCCCCCAAGGATGGAAGGGACAGACAGGACACACTGAGATACCCCACCTCCCCAAGCACAGTTCAGCTCACACCTTGGTTTCACACCTCCGGTCTCCAGAGCTGTGAGAGAATAAACGTGTGTTTGACAGCAGACACCATGCTTTCTAGAAGGAAGGCAGAGTTCCCTGCGGCACATAGAGCATGGCCAGTGCTGACCGGCTAGCTAGTTCACTCTCATGCGGTTCACATTCCATGCATGTGTCAGGCTCCTGGTATGCTCTTGGCACACAAGCTGAACTAGGGATCTGCTATTTTTTTTCCAAAGGGCAAACAGCCTGGTGCATAGGGATGCACATCACTATGAAGTAGAGGGGGCAGGGCACAGGAGATGGTGGGCAGGGGGTCCCCAGGGAAGGTGCTCATGAGCAGGGGGAGGATGAACAGTCAAAGATTGTTCTCCCTTAATATTGGCCACTCCTGGGCCATCTTGTGTGGAGCTGTGTATCCATGACTAGTGTGTGTGTGTGTGTGTGTGTGTGTGTGTGTGTGTGTGTGAGAGAGAGAGAGAGAGAGAGAGAGAGAGAGAGAGAGAGAGAGAGAGAGAGAGAGAGAGAGAGAATATGTATGTACATTTGAGGTAGACAGGCAAGTGGGGACAGGCAGGAGCACCATGACAAGGAATTAGAACTTAGGATGCACTATAGCCCTTCTCACCAAAGCCCCAGCCCTGCTTTTAATGTCTCCTCATCCACTTCTCCATTTTTAGGACCCTCTTCAGTCACCCCAGATCTTTCCATACTAATTGTACAATTGTAGGATAGTAGCACCCAGCCACTTCTCAGACCCGGGCAGCAGGGGTGGGGGGTGGGGATGGCGGTACTAGCTCAGGAAGGAAATGGTGCCATAGTGAGAATGATTCTGTGAGCCACTGACCAGAGTTGGTCTTTGTTACCTGACAGGCCTTGGCCCACAGGTCTGCTCTCACCCACCACAGGAGGGCCCCAGTCTTGGCTGTGCCCTCCCTGGAAGCAACCAAAATGCCATCTATCACAATGGTGGCTGGGCAGATGGAGACTTCAGTTTTTGTTTTTGTTTTTTTGTTTTTTAAGATTTATTTTATGTATATGGGTGCTTGTATGTAGGCATGATGCAAGAGGGTATTAGACAAAAGAGGGCAACAGACCCCGCTATAGATGGTTGTGAGTCACCATACAGGCGCTAGGAATTGAGCTCAGGACCTCTGGAAGAGCAGCTAGTGCCCTTAACCCTTGAGCCATCTCTCCAGGCCAAGCCTTTATTATGTCTTAATCACACAATGTTATTATTTCTCTGGGGAATGGAGTTTGAAATGCTCTGTGATGAGACAACTGTGTAGTAAGTGCATCAGGGACGGCATCAGCTGTTGGCTGCCACTGATCCTTCCAGAAGGTCCCAAGCAGGAAACAGGTATGGACAGAGGACAAGATCTGGGAGAAGCCAGATGGACAGAGAGGCACAGGACACTCAGGATCCCTCGAGTTTGCAGTGTTAACGACTCTGACTTCCAGGTCTTGTTGATTCAATGGGCAAAAGGCAAGTACAGTAATTCCCTGGTAAATTGAAGAGAAATCTGTGTCCATCAGACCTAGTGTGTGCCTTCCACCTCCACCTCAGGCTCCAAGGGATACATACAGATTCTAGAAGTCACTTACTGCCCCCAGGTGACCACTGGCTTTCCTAATTCTGCCTGCCCGCTGCATTTTGGGGATGCAGCATGAGAGTTGTTCTTTACACTGCAACCATTTGTAGAAATCACCAGGACACGTTCTGTAGCACTCCTGTCCTGTGGGTCCTCATAGGCCTGGCCTCCCATCTAGTTTTCTGGCCAATCCTTTCGTTTCTTCTGATACCTCAATACTAGCCTTCTGAAGGTTTTATTGTGTGTGTGTGTGTGTGTGTGTGTGTGTGTGTGTGTGTGTGTGCGTGCAGCCTCTCTATTAGTCATTCAACAATTAATGACTTTACCATTACTCTTGAGAGAATGAGGTCGTGTAACCCAAGTTCCTCATGTGTTCATGTGGAGCAAATCCATTTGAGCATCTACACTTGCAGCCTGGACCACTGCCTGCTCCATCTGCTTCAGCCTGGCCTTCTCTCCTGAGTTTCACACCCAGAATCCTGTTACGTTGAATTACATGGCCACTGTTCTTCCTCTGGTCCATTCTTCCAGCTTTCAGCTGGATTCTCTTTCATGGAACAGCCAGTGGCCTGCCCAGTAGAGAGTAAGCTGTCTCTTCCCTGAGGACCAGGGCTCAAACTTACACAGAGAAATCCCAAACAGCTAGGGACTTGTGAGAAACATGGCCAGGACAGAGCTGGTGTGCAAAATGCATCAACTCAAGAATGCAGAATGGACATGTTTTGTCATCTACACATGCACCACTAAGAGAGGTACCACCGTAAGTTTTATTCTCTTGGCTGTCAAGCCCAGGAATCATATGGTTCTTAGATATGTACCATCCAATAAGGACAAACAGGGCTTTAAACAGGTCACCCCGGTAGCTTCAACTGTCAGGTGGCCAAATGCTTTCTACACAATGTCTGCCTTTTTTCATTGGGCTACATTTAATTCTCCAGTGACTCTAAAGTAATCCATCTGGCTAATTTCTGTCTTAAAGCTATGCCCCAGGTTAAACACTTTGGTCTGGTAGGTGGGAAGCCTCCAAAATTCTCAAGCACAACTTAGATCATAAGTTGTTGGGCTGTTGGGTAGTAGATCAGTATTTATCCCTCGCTCACAAATGGACTCTGGGTGCCCATCCCACAATGAGAGATGCACTCTCATCCTGGACTCTTGGGGGAGGGTCTAGGCCTTGCCCTGGATGAAATGACAGACTATGGACATCCCATGGAGGGTCTCACCCTCCCTGGGAAATAAGGGGGTACTGGGGGGGGGTTGGAGGGAGGGCGTGGGAGTAGGGAAGGGAAAGGGAGAGGGACCTGGGATTGACATGTGAAGCAACCTTGTTTCTAATTTAAATTTAAAAATTAAAAAAATTAAAAATCTTAAATTAAAGCAAAAAAAAAAAATGTTGGGCTGATTGTGGTAACCACAGTCAGTGATCTGCTATCTTATCTTGGATCCAAGAAATAAATAGTCGTAAGCGGCATTTTGTGAGAGAATGGGACTCGATGATAAAACTGTATCAGGGAATGTTTCCTTGGGCACAGTGGTAGCCAGTGTCAGGACAAGAAGGTCCCCGTGAGAAGTGCGTGGGAAGCTGTGTGTGGGGCCTGAGAGTGACTGGTCATGTGTTCACTGCACTGTTTTCGGCCTATATAGAGAAAGACGACAGGAATAACAGTAAGGGCTGATTTAGTATTTAAGGGAGGTTTTCTTACAGTTGTGTGAAAGCTGGCAGAATCCAAATGGAATCGTTTATGTCAAGCCACAAGCAACAACTAGTAAAACCAGGAGGGACGTTCACAAACTTCGCTGAAACCCCATGCACCCCAGCCTTAAGTGAAGGCACTGCACCCATACAGAGGATCCCCCAAAACCAACTCACTTATGTCCTCCATACCTACTCTGTCAACCCTTGCCTGCATTACTCTTGTCTCTAGACACCTGTAGTTGTCAATCCTGAGCCCAGGGGTTATGGTTTTAAAATAGTTATATAGTTCTCATTTTGCCTTTGAAACCACCCTGTTTTCCACCACTGTCCTTTGGGAATGTGCTTCTCAATCGACTCAGGTAAACATACAACCCGAGAGCCCCTCATCAGTCCGCACACTTTTGGGACCAGGAATAACCTGCACATGATATTCTGCAAATATCATTGGCACCTTCTGGCTCACAGATACCCCTGAACCGAGTCCTGAACACCCAACAGTAACAAACGGTCTGGGTTTCCACTGAACACACAGCAGCAGTGTGATTCACCAGCCAGTAAAATAGGCATGCCCCTGATACATGGCAGTGTTGTGGGAAGCCACACTTAAAGACAGCACCAAAGTGGGACCACGCTTGTGTGTGCTGTGTTGACATCACTGAGGGACTAGAGACTTAGGGATGGTTGAGCGGGAAGCTCACCAATGTCATCAAACCCTCACTGGCTGCTCACTGTGCAAAGTCATAGACATTGCCTGAGTTGCTTTAATAATTTTCAACCATCACTGTGGGGAGGCAGGAGCTGATATTACAGAGGGTAACACCAGCTCTTAATGAAGGTGTGTGTTATCAAGCATTTGGTAATCTTGTCCAGATCTCCTCCCCCCCCCCAGCTGAACCCATCTCTGTACTTTTGTTATTGACCATAAAAGCCAACTCCAAGCATACTGGAAATGGTTTGCTTGCCTAGGACTTGTTCACATGTTGATGATAAGTGCTACAAGTAGACAGAACCTATGG